GCCATCTATGCTGTTGACTCCTTACCCCCGTTCAGATTCAGGCTCAACACTCTCCTTTATTTTTCGATTTAAAGCTTTCGTGACTGCAGGGATTCATCTTCTTGGTTCTTTCGGTAAAGTCACGTAGAATGGAAATAATAAAATCATAAAAATAAAACATAATAAAATAATTCTCACGACGTTTCGGCCACACCGCAAGCAGCCGTCCTCAGGTGAAGAACAGGTCTGTCGAGAAGACAGACAGGTTTGTCGAGAAGAGGACGGCTGCTTGCGTTGTGGCCGAAACGTAGTGAGAATTATTTTATTATGTTTTATTTTTATTATTTTATTATTTCCATTCTACGTGACTTTACCGAAAGAACCAAGAAGACTCTCGTTTGTTCCTCTGCCTTTGACACACTGCCTATTTATCACAGTTTGCAGCTTGTTTTAAGTAGGCCAAACGGTTTTGGCAGTGTCTCATTAACAAGGTGCAATTAGTTCGTCTTTCGTGCGGCGTGTTGCAGAGATAAGCGATTCATTTGTGGAGCGGCAACAAATGTTGTAAATTGGTGCCATTTGACGGCATGGGCCGGGAGCTGATATTAATCGCTTTTGTGCCGCCGTGCAGTGGTCTTGACGGGAAGGCAGCACTCCACCACGTGCCCCGTTGTTTTAATCCGCTCCACAATACCTTGCTGAGCTCGTCAAGGAGTACAAACCATCACGCAAACTCAGGTCAACATCGCAGCGGCTTTTGGCTAACCACCGGACAAAAATGGTCACTGCATCTGCGCGCTTTCAGATGCGCTTCAGTGGTCGTCTGGAATGCTCTTCCCTTATTAGGAATCCACTGGAGCTTTTAAATATAGATTTAAAACTAATTTCTTTAGAATCTGCTTTTTGTTTTTAGTCTGTGGTCCTTACTCCGCACATCCGATTAGCACGGTTGGCTACGTACAGTGCGAAAAACGTTAATCATTCATACACATAGATGGAACTATCTGCCATCTTCCACTTGGAAGTCTTCAGCGAAACGTTCCGACTCTCAATGTAACACACCCAGCCCCGTGTATTCGAATTGTAACAGTTGAAGCTCACCGCAAGTGATGTGATGAATTGCCAGAATTTTGGCTCCATGATTTGATTCAAGATTTCATTATTTTCGTCCGTCTCGGTTTTGTTTCATTTTTACCAACGCTAATATTTTTCCTACCTTTACCATACATATTTGTTCACTTAATTCGCATAAATGTAACATTTGCGTCTCATTTGCGTACGATTTGCGATGATTCTGTGTGTGTATCACGGGAGTAGTAATTAATTTTATTCGATAAGGTAACGCGTTGTTGCTTTCCAGCCATGTGTGTGTCCGTATAATCATTAGTAATGACCAGCTGTTCTTATTGTATTAGTGAGCTTGACCTTTACATTCCTGTGTTTGTCGGCAAATGAGAATCATAAAAGCATTTAAATTTGTGGACAGTATTATCCGACAAAATAATTTGAAAATGCGTATTTGTCCAGATACATGCAGCAGTAACCTTAAAGAAAAATCCCGCTAACCACTATTTTAACTGTGCAATTAAAAAAATTCTAAGCTTGCATCAAGAAAATATCAGTTTTGCACTTTTAACTTTTTACATTGCCGATGTTTGCATGCAGCGAATGGTTAATTAATTAAAAACAACGATTGTGAATCAATGTTATGTTTTCTTATTCTTAAAATCGACGGTACATTTGGTATTTGCGCCATTCTCATCGCGCAAGCTTCTCATGAAGGGCGCTGTGTCTCAGAGACAAGTATCGAGTCTGCAGTAGTTTCACGGTTGTGGGTGTGATGTTGCTGCGTGGTTTCACCCAATTGGGTAACCTACGAGTACAATTTTGATTTAAAGCTTTCGTGACTGCAGAGATTTATATTCTCGGCTCTTTCGGTAAAGTCACATCGAAGAATATATAACCTACGAGTAATCGGCGTTGCCAAGTGTGGAGCGTAACTCCGCCGATACACACACCCAACCTTATTTTTTTTCAAATAACGTCACAGGAGGATCCTTAACATTGCGCCATGGCGCAAACGGCGTGTACCGATATTGAAGACACCCGCAGTAGCAACTAGGGCCGAAACGAGTGGCAAAACGTGCTGCCGCTCGGGCTGTTCCATGTTGGGTTGTGGAACGTTTAAAATTCCAAGTGCTGCACAAGTGGGGGTGGGGGGGCATATTAGGAAGGGGTGTCTGACGTGACATGAACTCATATGTCATAGGTTGGCCTTGGGTTCAAGTTCGGGGCGGCCACTGGATTCCATCCACGGACCTCTGCAACCAGCGACGAACGTGCTACCGCTGGATCAACCAACCAAAGTTGGGAGAGAAAAAATATTAAATACACACTTAAACTCCAACGAGCACCACAGCCTTGCATGTCATGCATATTCCATTTGTAACCTGAGAATATGACCAATTGCACCTCATTTCGTCAAATCTCAGATGCTCGGCCGGTTTGAGCTTGTACAATGCTTGCTTGGTAGGGTGGCCACCTGCATAAAAACAGGTGGTATAGGCCGCTGCAGAGGGCAGTTCAGAAAAAATGAACTGTCGTGCGGTACGATACTCCCACGGATATCTCCACCCGCAGCCCGCGCTGAACAGCGTGGTGAAGTATGGTCAAATGATGAACACAAAACGGGCTGCTGCGTATATACGTGCATTTGTAATCCACAACACCTTCACCGAGTGTCAACAGTATTTTCCTGGTAGTTTGCTGCATTGGCCTCATTTATTACCTAAATGAGCATTTTGTACGTGAGAAGAAACGCGCACCTGGATAAACGCACTGAATCAGCGGACAAGTCCAACATCCACAGAGCCAGGCAGTGTTGCCAACTCCTTCAAGTGGAACGTTGCCTAATGACCATTGACACAAACCTCCGGATGTTGCTAGACGGTCAAATATGTCACTGGACAATTCACCAAGTATTACGCACGGTGTAAACTCATGACAGGACCCTGGATAGATCACCAATAAGTTAAATCATGTCGGTGGACAGTTTATTAAATATTTAACACAGTAAAACTCATACAGGTTGCATACATGGGATCGTGTGACTGGAGAATGTACTTAAATTATTGTGAATTTGTAATTTCCGTAATCTTTTGTCAGAAAACAAAACAGTATCACAAATGAAACCATCAGCAGCGGCAATCACGATGTAACATTACCTAACAAAACCACACGAATGCGGTTGCCGTCTCTTTGATTGTACGCGAAATCGCGGCGGAGCGCGTGAACGAAACATTGCAACGACACGAAAAAAAAACACATCGCAACGGTCCTACAATTCATGTCGGTGCGCGCTCGCGTCGTGAGCGAGTCACCGGCTCTGGGATGTGAACTGGGGCCTTGGCGTCTCGGTGGCCGTGGGGAGGACTTCCGAGGCAATCGTGCGACGGGCGCCTGGCGCCTGCGAGGCGTCTCGCGCAGCTGAACTTTGATGCGCATCACTGCCGACGCAAATCTCGCCGGCCCGGCATCACTGTTTGCCCACGTGCAAGGGGATGTAGCGATGTATAAACCAATTAAGGGGCTACGTCAAGAAAGCGAGGCGGCGTTCGTCACGAAACTCGCCGCGTTCAACGCCCGCTATCTTTGCTCTGACGAAGGGACATTGCCTCAAACGTTGAGAATATTACCGGGTTTTTTTTTTGTTCCATTCTCGGATGAAGATTAATACGCTGAACTTTTTTTTTACTTGCGTAGAATGTAATAAAATACCATGGGGACACTAAAACAAGGACCCCAATAAAGTGATAGCATGGACATAATGCAAAGTTGTTTACATTAGTAGATTGACTTGGTTTCTAATGTCCCTTTGTTATCTGTACAGCAATATTATTTAACCCAGGGCGGAGCAGTGGTAAATTTGGTGGCGTACTGCGCTATATACCTAGATACCCCGAGTCCCATTTCCGGCCACGGTTAACATCAGTGGCGAGCGATATCTGAACAGGTCACATGATACCACCCTTTCCCAATCCACACTGACGGGTCTGGTGAAGTATGGTTAAATAAGCCCATGACCAACACATTGTGGCGAGGCCTTCATCTAGCAGTGGATTGACAAAGGCCTCGATATTTTCATCATCATTTAAAACCGAATTAAAAATTAAACTACTTCCGTGGCTTAACAATATTGGGTTCGCTAAGTATTACTGCTTTACAACAAAATTAATATAGGCATGTAGTACCAATAACCCATCTTATTTAAATTATAGCACGTGACAGCGGAAAGCGTTATGTGTCTGTATATCCTGAGGTGTTCCAGAGTCGTGTATTGCTTAGGTATATTGAAATGAAGGCGATCGCGCACTTTATTATAGTTGTGTTTGCAGGAACATTGGCCTCTCGATTTAAACAAATAAAAGTGCGTTCCCGCTCAGAGTGAGTTGCAGAACTCATCTCCAAATTACAACTCAAAGAAAGTTGTGGTAATTCCACCTTCCTATGGCACGGAGGCCACTTTATACCTGACAAGCACCATCGATAGTGATTGACGGATGAAGGCTTCCCCTCCCCCACGCCTTGTCGGTGATGGGTGTTGTTTGACCATACTTCACCACGCTGGTCACTGCGGGTTGGCAAAGCGAGAGTTCCGAGGGCCGGTTCAGATATTCCACTCGCCGCTGATATTGGGCCGCTGAGGATATTACAACTCTACCACCTGCGTCTTTTTGCATCTCCTTCATGATATAACAGCTTATATATCAGCAAATAGCAACAATGGCATATGGTTTTACGTGCACCTGTTTGCTTTGCCTAAGTCGCGGAAGAGGGCCGGGGGAGTAATTTGTTGAGCAATCTGTGTAATAGACCGTGAAACTAATCGAGTCGCGCGCGTAAGCAAACCGCACGGCGTAATTAATCCGTGCAATTGATTGCACGGATGCTGGGGCCAGACGTGAGGACGGAGGGCTATAAATGAGGAGCGGACCACTCTGTGAGTTCACGAACCTGCCTCTCCGGCATCACCCGACTCCCGCCGCACATTCGCTAACCAGCAGCACGTCCGGCAAGTATTGACGATGACGACGACGCCCGCCCGCTGAGCAATATCTGTCGACCGCTGCGCAGGAAGAGATGAGAAGTGTCGTTGTTTCTCCCGCGTGCGTTTTCGAGCCGTTTGTGTCCCGTGTCGTTCGGCGTGATGTCCCCGCCTCGTGAAGCGAAACGTCGGACGTCGTGCAGTAGTGGTGTTTTCGAATTTATTTCCATGCATTTTTGTTTTTTTACGTGCGTGTGAAAGTTGATGTCGTGGTTAGTGGACTGCACTGCGAGCCCAGCGACAGCTGAGTTCGATTTCCAGTCATGGTCAACGTCAGTGGTGAATATCTGAACCAGTGATGGGCCTCCATTAGTTCGACTCGGTCTTAACTGAGTACCTGCTTGATGCGGTGTATAAACAATACAATTGAGGAGACAAATGCAGCCGGGCGTGGTGCTGGTCACATTAACCTCCTCCTACATCATGGCAGCCTAAATAAACGCTTGCTAACAAGCACTTGCCCCAGTAGTCCGTTAAAAGGCTATACAGGGGATATTTTCCTTTTGTGTGTGTGGAGTTTGTGTAGCATTTATCACGAACATTGGGACTGCTTGTAATCACCATAGACATGTGTGACATCCGCCATAGCCTGCACAAAATAAGCACCCGTGCTAGGTTAGGGAGAGCACTGGAGTATCTCTAATCCACCTTGAGAAATATATAACCACTTAAATTATACACGTCCAGTCACATCCCTTTTTTGTCAATCAATTGTTGGACGTTAGCCTGCCTTCCCACACCAACGTAGCCCTGCATTCAAGCGCGACGCTGCTGACCTTCCGAGATCTGAAGCTAAGCAGGGTGATTCGAACGTAAGCTCAACAACCGTGGGGTTATTCAGAAAAGCCTTAATGAGTGTTAAAGTCTAATTTCAGGAAGGCCCTGCGTTGGACTCTTGGGCGAATACTTGAATTTTTAAAATTGTATTGTTGTTATTGTTTTCCCGCTAAACCTTGCGATGTACATCTGCCCTGCTACTTCTGCCAATGACCATCGGTTTCTGCAACACCCCCGGCACACCTGATGATGTGAATGGTTCTCTCCGTAGAAACAATGAGCGACACGGGATTCCTGGCGGCACCGGTGCTGCTGCTGCTGCTGCTCGTCAGCCTGGCCTCGGCGTCTCTGGAACAAGCGGCATCGCGCGACGATGATAGGTGACCCCACCGCCACCTACTCCCTTCATCGGGTGTCACGCCATGTCAAGGAATAAACAAACGGGAAGGGTAAAAAAAAACTGAAACGCTGTAGGGGCAATTAAAACAATCCTACCGAGCCTGCGATTGGGTTGCAGAAAACGGCTTGATGTTAAATATTCGCTTCGCGTTCTGTATAATTCGGTGTAAAATAAAACACACACAAAATGTTTTGAAGTTATTTTATGCAACCTGACACCAACGCTGAGTTGTCGATGCGATCCAAACAAAGGTGGTGACTTTTTGCGACCACAATTGGCTGCAGAGCGTGGAGGGGCTTTTTTGCAAAACAAAATCACAAGCAACAGGACTGATGTCATTGCGACATCTATCTCATACATTTTAATTCAACGTCAAACGCAGCCGTGCCATCATCACAGCACTATGGCAGCACACTTGACATTACCGTGACAATAAAGCCTTTTTTTTGCTTAGCCATTAACATTCCAATACTGAACAAACGTCTTCCATTCTGCACAGTTTCTTGTCACCTCCATCCAAATATTCTAATATCATCCATAGGCCTCATAATGCTGTCTCCCACTCTCTCTCTCTCCTTGCCTGCTTTGGCCTCAACCCTGTCGTTAATCTCACCCACTCGTCTGTCATCTGCTGTCTTAGCTCGATGTGCTGTCCAACTCCGTTTCAGTTTTGGTTCACTTTGTACATTCCACCAGTCGCCACAGTTTAACTTCTCAAATCTTCATTTCTAAGTATTGCCCTTCGACATTTCGTTCTAAATCCTCCTTTCTTCAACTCCTTGGCAACCTCGTATCTCTCTTGCTTGTTCCAGGTGCGTTGCCCTCTAGGTCACGAGTTGCATTATACAAGAATCAAGAAGTTTCACTTTTTCATTAACTACATTTCAAACTGACGCAGAAAATCCTCGGACACAGAGCCTGGGTACTTTATTATAAGATAAGAACTGTTTAATTATTGGATCACACGTTCCTATCAGTGACATCCGGCGGCAGACGCTTAACACAGAATAAGTAAGTGTCGACTGATTGGTTTTCCACCTTCCCTGCCGGACATGTGCACGTGCAGCCCTGTTTGTCAAACCACTGCTACATGGTGACTTTTACCGCACAAGTTGTGGCTTATTCAACCATACTTCACCATTGCTTTGCGGTGCGCGCTGTTGGTGAAGGCAGTGAAGGCGGTCGTGAAAGTATGGAAGAAGTGCAGTCGATACAACACGGGATTTAGCTGCACGTTTCGAATACCGCCTGCCATGTAGCCATGCTGCCCTATAACAACCCGTGTTTGCATGGGGCTCACCCATAAAATCACTATCCAGGCTCAGCACTGCTGAGCTTCCGAGATCTGACGAGATCCGATGCTTTCCGTGCAATTTGTCTATCGCTAACTCTACTTGAAGCCAGGTCTCACACCAGAGAGATCATTCTCGCAAAAAACCTAAATCTCTGAGCAGATCGATGCTCGCGGCTGCTCCCAACTGCTCGAAAAAGACGTCCGCATAGAAGCGATTCAGTTGAAACACAGCCGAGTTGCTCAGGTGGGTTGAACCCGGATTGATTTTGTGTTTTTTTTGTATTCACCACTTTTGCTCTGCCCTCGAACCGCGCAGCGCCGAACGTCCGCTGAGCAAGCGCCACTCGGAGGGCACCTTCACCAGCGACTACAGCAAGTACCTGGAGAACAAGCAGGCCAAGGACTTTGTACGCTGGCTCATGAACGCCAAGCGCGGCGGGTAAGGTCATAGGTGTACCACCTGCACAGGCTTGTCAGTAAATGGGGAACGCGGGGGTTGCAGCCGCACGCTCACGTTGGCCCAGCGTTGCACGTTTACCGGGCTTCTGTCAATCCACTGCTGGTTGAGGGCCTCCCCCGGTCTCGTGCGGGACGTGAGGGTTATTTGACCATACTTCACCACGCAGGTCAGTGTGGTTGCCTTTGCTATACATCAGACCACTGACTCGTCCTTTTGTAATTTGTGTGCCGTAAAGTTGAACGAAACGTGTTTTTGTCATTGAGCATATTCATAACAATTTTATTTGTTTATTTTCTGACAAACTTATGTTTTTCCTCATCATTGGTTTTCTTCACTGAGATGGTTTGTACTATATTTTGTTCGCAACTCAGGTCTCCCTTGTAAAACTATCTACTTTTGTCTCCATTGTCAATGAGGTTCATGCGATCAAGTTTATTTCATAACATGCAGGAAAATAGGTGTCCTCAACGGCGATGTTCATCCCTTCGTCAATCCACTGCTGGATGAATGCCTCCCAAGCCGTGTGTCAGTCACAGGAGTTATTCGACCATACTTCACCACGCTGCTCAGTGTGCGTTAGTGAAGATGGGGGGGGGGACCCGGAAACTAGTTCATATATCCCTCGCCAATGAATTTGCTGTGGCCAGCAATTGATTGTGCAGTGCGTTAACCACTACACCACTACTCCAACCATCAACGGCAATACATAACGTATGATGCTTTGCAAGTTAACAGGGCATCTCTATCCTTTCGCATATTATACACAGCCTTGGAGAAATTACATGAGTTTATTTCACGTATGAATTTGTCATACAGCACGTGTTAGGATAACCAAATGCACACATCCATTGACCCTCAGGTTGTAGAATTGCACAGTGGGGGCCCGTCAGGGAACGTGCATTAGAAGTCCTTCCTGGGGCAAAGGAGGGAACGTGCCCGAGAGAACGTCCTCGGCACAGATGGAGCAACGAGTGTGGTTTTATTATTCATGTTTTTGTTTTTTGTTTGTTGCGGTTGCACCCGATTCAAGAGCCGAATGGCTCACAGAGCTATACCTAATAAATGAAACTGAAACTGTCTTCCCGGCTGGGCCACGTGGCGAGCAAAATCTTCTCTCACCGTGCGTTCACCGTGCACCACGCTCGACTGCCCGCGGTAGTGAATGAATTGCGAGTGGTCTGCGAGATCCCACGTGCTAACTGGAGCGATGAGATGAGCTCGTGTGGAGGAGCTACAGACGGCTCGTTGCATCGCGTAACAGCAGAGAGCGGCGACGGCTTCCTGTGGTCTTCATCCAACGGTTAATAGATCGTGAAATGATGATGACGACGGGACCGTGAGGAGGTTGTGCCTGTCCCTCCTGCAGCAGTGAGATGCAGCGGAGGCACGCTGACGGCACCTTCACCAACGATATGACCTCCTACCTGGACGCGAAGGCTGCCCGCGACTTTGTCAGCTGGCTCGCCCGCTCCGACAAGTCGCGCAGGGAGTGCGTACGCGGCATCGCGTGCATCCGCAGCGTGCACTGACATCCAGCATGCACCGCTCACCACCAGCACGCACTGCTGAATCTCCAGCACGTATCACTAATCCCCAGCATGCACCACTAACCTCCAGAGTGCCCCAGAAACATCCAGCATGCACCAATAAACACCTACATGCACCACACATCACCAGAATGTACCGTGTTTCGTTGTTTGCCCTTCTCTCGCACCTCCGATTAGCACGCTTGGCTACGTACGGTGCGAAAGAATTTCACCATGCATACATTACATACGTACATAGCACAAATCGCCAACATGCACCGCTATAACCTGCAATCACCACTCGCCTCCGGTGTGCACCGAAATGAGAGCGCTAAGCCTGTGAATGTCACTCACGATGAGCCTCCCCCCGCCCCCCGCGTGTGCAGCGGAGGAGATCACCTGGCCGAGAACTCCGAGGACAAACGCCACGCGGAGGACGTGAACGCGCTGCTCGACAGGACGATGGCCAAGAACTTCATCGAGTGGCTGGAGAAGCAGAGCGGCAACGACCAGGCAAGGGCTGAGCAAACCACGAACAAACCCAGCTGGCGGGGACAGGCAAGTCAGTCGTCTCTCAGGGCCTATAGACTATGGCCTAAACCGGTGTTCTTCATTGCAAGGCCCGCGAGCCACTGGCGGCGCCTCGTGGTCTTTAGTGCGGGCTCTGACGTGCAGCTCCCGACAATGCACAAATGTGAAAGGACCCTATCATGCTGTCAAACCAAATGGTTTCAAGTGTGTGGCGGCCCTCGCTCTGATGTTTTATCGGCGAAAGTGGCCCTCCTATGAAATTCTAGATTTGAAAATTAGTGATGAACACTGGCCTGAACGTTGTAACGAAAAGTGGCTTTATTATGGTTTGACTCACTCCTGCCATGGGCGTGTGAAATTTCCATGCCTGGTCAGGGTTGTAAACGGTCGGGGAGCACCACTCCACGCTCGTTTGAGCTGGAGGGGTAAAAAAAAACTTCTGCTTTTGATTGAATGTAAGGTCTATCCGTGCGCATGTCGTACTCGGATTTGCTGTCATGGCCAGATTTGTGCTCCGTAATTCTGTTCTGTTCATGCGTATGGCAGGAAAAAATATGTTCAGGATCTAAATGCCAATGTCGAGATCTTGTGCGGGCAACAACGAGAGAGCTTCAGGCGTGAGCCTGTGCAGTTTTGCTCGTCCTACGTTAACGGAGCACAGGCTACAGTGGCTTACTATACGGTCTGTGGTTTGGTGGTTGTATCGCCACAGTCGCACGACTGTCGCTTGTTTTTAAATTTACATTCATGAATGAGATGAACGCGTCAGCCTGTTGATGGTCTGACCTGGTTAATGGCACCAGAGCCACGCTCGGAAATCATACATTACAATAAGGCCGTATTCTCTAGAATATAAGACCACATTTTTTATTTAAAGCTTTCGTGACTGCAGGGATTCATATTCTTGGTTCTTTCGGTAAAGTCACGTAGAAGGGAAACAATAAAATAATACAAATATAAAACAATTAAATTCTCACGACGTTTCCACTGCAACACAAGCAATCATCATCATGTGTGAAATCCACACCAACTTTTTTCAAATGTATTGCTGTGGATTTCACACATGATGATGATGATTGCTTGTGTTGCAGTCGAAACTTCGTGATAATTTTATTGTTTTATATTTTTATTATTTTATTGTTTCCCTTCTACGTGACTTTACCGAAAGAACCAAGAATATAAGACCACACTTATATCCCTGAATTTTAAGCAAAATTTTGGTGTGTGGTGACTGGATTTGCACCATCTCACACTTACGCTGCCCGCCTCCTTCACAAACCCGCTCTCGACTGATGAGCTCGGTGAAGCAATGGTCAAATATACAAATAACCTTCCCCGCCACGACCCGCACGCACGGCACGAGAAACCCCTTCGTCCGGCGGTGGATTGACACGCGTCCACTAAAGTCGCCCGTTCGGTGTGTCCGTCCGTCTCTCGCAGACGGACTGAGGTGGGGAGAGAGACGGAGAGAGGGACGGAGACGAGGGAGAGAGGGGAGGGGAAACCCGCTCGGCCAACTCCATCGCGCCGCCTGTTATTACGTTTCCCCCGCGCCGCCCGCCCCGGTGGCCTCATCGGATTAAAACTCAGCCCTCCCGGCTGCCGCAAATTCGCATTTGCCTCCTACCCACTAACCCCCCCCCCCGTGCTTTTACGCCTGTAAATAATTCATTACAGAAAATGGCAATAAATTAATCATGAATCAGTTCACTGCGTCTGTTTTGGTATAAAGTGTCTCTCGCTGTATTATGGGATTCCTGTGCCAATAGTGTGTTTGTGTGCGTCAGGCCCTCATATATTTGACGAGATTAGGAGATACAAAAATATATTACTATTAACCCATGTGATGCAAATCATTTGTCAGATTTGAGATGTATTTTCTGACTATGAATGCTGTAGGTTGACCCATGACCTCTTTACGCATAAAATGCTTAAAAAGCAAGGCTAGGCTGTTACCATTGGCTCATCACCGTGTTAACATTTACGCGTATTGTTACTTCCATCCCAATGCGTAACTGCACCAAAGATAGGTGAGGTTAAACCGTAATATGTTTTACGTTGTATGTATACGAGTTTGTACTCGTGAAGAAGGTTTTAATGTAAAGGCAGGGACACGTCACTAGGAAGGATGATGATGATGATGATGATATCCGATGGTCGAGACTAATGGGGGAATAAATGGAAGATAAAAGAATCGCCCAACTGCGACTGTGGAAAAGTCCAAAACCATCAAGCACATCACCGATGAATGCTCCATCCGTGCGCATCATGTCGCTATCGCTGAAATCCACACTGCATCAACCACATCATTGGACTGGACGAGCAACCTTTGCATTCATTTATGACGATCATTAAGAAAAAATAACTGTTACTTTTCACAATGCCATACGGAAAAGGATGGAGGAACGACACACGTCGGAAACGACAAACACTGGGGAGGTGGCGCAACAATATTAAGTCAGGGGCAGGAGCAAACCTCCCGAGCGATGGTAATGACGTGGGAAGACGTTCATCCAGCAGTGGATAGATTATGGCTGTGGTTGGTGGTGGTGATGATTAGTTTGGCGATACTCTGGTATGGAGGGTGGCACAGGTGACAGCGTCTCCCAACAATTCCACACCGTCTCCCGTGACCACCTATTTGAGATGTGTGACAAATCACTGGAAATATGCCTGCTCCCATTGTTTTTAAATCCTTTATATTAAGTTCGCTTGCGTGCTTGCGTGCTTGCGTGCTTGCTTGCTTGCTTATGACAGTGCAAATCTTTCGGTCGTTTTTTAACCCACTTCCCGTGATCCAATCGAGCTGACATTTTGCACACAGACTCGTTGTGCGAAACAATTAATGTTCGTGAAAATTTTTTTCCAAAATTTTACACTGTTTAGTGAAAACAATTAAATATTTAATTATCAATTGCTTAATACTGGCAGACAATCATCTGACTCATAGGTGGCAGCCATCTCAAGCTAGAGGACGAGAGGACTCTAGCCGCCACGCATATAAACGATTTATAGTAAAAAGCTTTGTTTTTACGGGTTATACTTATTTGCCAGCTAAGATCACATCAGATGTTGGCAGCTGAGCATGGTTGGAGCCTGGATAATCCTTGTGGGTGGGTGACCACCACGGACGCGAGGTTGTCATAAGCTGCTGCAGGGCTGTGGTGCTTGCTGGTCAGCAAAGGGCAATACAGCAGCATTCGCTATTGTATTGTACTGCTATGCTCCCACGTCTATGCTTTCCCTATTCATCAGCCAGCACTTGACCACCTGAATATAAAATTGTAGTTGTTGCTCTGTATCTACATGAGCCATACCAAATGAAGAAGCCCGCATCAACCAACGTGAAGTGTGTTCAAACAAGCCCCATGACGACACAGCGTGTGAAGGTCCTGATCATCAAGCGGTGGATTTGCAAAGAGGTGTACATTGCAGACCTCGTGCCTGTGGCCCAATGAGAGATGTTCGCCGCCTGGCGGACAAAGGCGCAGTACTGCGTTTAATGCGCTAAAAGGTAACGGTTGGCAAATTCTCACGAATCTTCACGTTACTCAGAGGCGCAGTTTCAATGGAGTTTGCAGGTTTTTATAAAAAGACAACGAATCAACTCGCCGGTAACCGGTCTGTGCGTTATAAACGGGCACCTTACGCCTCATAAAATGCAGTGGATGAATGGAGGTGTTGTGTGGATGTGTTCCCCAGGAAACGTGGCACGTCAGGCTAACGTTCTAACGTTGCATTTTTACTGGATCTAGAGTTGTCTGGATATTAGTTTGCGGGTATTTGTCAACATACTGCCGATCTGAAAAAAACATCGCCGCAGCCAAAGTCGGTTTGGGTTTTAACGAGCGTGTTAATAATCGGTGTCGCCTTAAGAAAACATTAATAATCAGCCGGAGCTGTTCGAGGCTGAGCTTTGTAAAACATCTCTCGCTCTCCGACGGGAGAAAAATTCCTGAGCATGAGGTGGTGGTGGGGGGGGGGGAGAACCAAGCGAGGCGGTTTGTGCGGTGTTGGTTTTTAGGGCTCGCGAATTGACCGCAGAACTCACATTTTGCTGAGCATCAGCGTTAATGTTTCACCACAGCGCCCACGTGGTTCGCGTTTTAACTGCTCCCTGTGAAGGCATGTGACCGAGTGCCGGGCGAGGCTGAGGTTCGACCGAGTTTGCTCCGCTGTTCCTGCCTCTTGCAAAGCTTACAAAACTTGGCTCGGCTCAAGCCGATTCACCAGCCCCGCCATGTCATCCTCCTCCTCCTCTCTCCCGTGGTGCTGCTGTTGCTGCGTGCCTCCCGAGGGCTCGCGGGACGAGGTGAGAGGCGTATTTGTGGAAGAGGATGTGACGGGGCTCAAGCACGCCGTTCGGTGATGCTGCCTGCGTTGGCAGTGGTGCACAATGACGGATAACACTAAACACGCTCAACACATTTCGTCAATACACACCGGCTTCAAACGAAACATATTCGAGAGGCGACGTTTCGGGCAATGACCCTTCATAGCGTGATATTAAGGCCATCGCCCGAAACGTCGTCTGAGCATTGTTGCAGCCATATTCGGTTTGGGTTTCAATGCAGCGTTATTGAGGAATGTGTTGGAATTATTCTTACTTTCGTAGGCTTACCGTGGTTTGCTGTATCGCATTGCGATGTTTTTTCGAGTTGTACGGTGTGTTGTTCGGCACGATGTCCGACGTTTCGATCCACGTGCTGAGTGAGAGCTTATTCAATTCTCTTCCTGAAGAAGCTCCCACCATATGATCATCTTCTTTACACGTTCGCTAAGTATGTGTGTATCTTGGGCGTGTATACCTCGGGCAGTTATTGAAGTTGACCTTGGATCAACATTCTGAGAGGTGTGTCTGCATGTTCAATACTATAAATACCATTTGGATTTACATAGCGTCGAAAAAAACCAACGGCATCTCAATACCCCGTACATGCGCATATATTTGTTTTACGCATATATATACTGTATAATATGTGCAGCATGTACATCCTGGAACAGAGGCAAGTTCTGACAAAGGCAGCAGAGAAGCAAGAAGCAGGGCATTGAGTCTGGACTTAAACAAGGGCAGGGAGCCAACAGCACGGACGCCTGGGGGGGAGGGGAGTCGGTTCCAGACTACAGAGGAGCACGAGAGACCATCTCACTGAGTGAACTTTGACCGAGGGCTCTGCGACTTGAAAGCCACGTTTGCCCGAGCAAAGGCACGGCTGGAGATTCATTGTAACAGAACGTCGCCATCACCGGCAGCGTTAGCAGCAACGGGCACGCGACGTCCGTGTAATAGTGTCGTCTAAGCGCATTTGCGGTCATCGGTGAATGCTGCCTGCTGGTTAAAGTTGTGGTCGTTGTTTCCTTTGCGACAGCAGTGGAAATTTGTCGATGTGTGCGATCGCGGGTCATTAAGTAAGTTCAGCAGGTTTTTTACTTTACGGGTCAAAACAGTATTTGTACTTGCTAACAGGCAGCGACATGTCTTAGTAAAACACGCGTGCGGAGAGGCCACAGTCCAAACGTAAACACAAAACGCTGTACCCAGCACTCGCAGAGATCTCGCTCGCTCTCGCCATGTGCTCCGGATTATTGGACGAATTTTTGCCCCCCCACAGTAATTATATTATCAGCCAAAGTTTTGGGTGGAGCGCGCGTCTAAAACATCCGTAGGTTGTGTGTGTGTGACCAGATTTGTAAAGATACGCAGTAGATTGTGTTTACATGGGGCACACATTCTAGGATGAGCGCGTCTTTATAATTCTGGAGAATACGAAGCACGCTCACTGTGCGGTTCTGTTGCGTAATGGTGCTAGTTGTGTTGGACTCCAGCCCGCGTGTGTGTTTTTTTTTTACTGAGTATATTTGTTTTATTGTCAAGCGAGTTACTTGTGCTCCAATTAACCCGGCTCTTCCCGGTTTTGCCACTCGCTGTTATTATGCATTCGGAGTTTGGTGACATTATGCCCCATTTAGTTATTATCGATTGCAATTAAACCCTACTGTTTCTGGTTTAAGTAATATTTTTTTTAAATTAACAATAATAATATAATGAATTGCCTGTGACTGACACGGAATGTGCCCGATGTCGTAACCTAAGCAGTAATTGAGCCTGGACAGCGCTTTGGATCGGCGACCACTATGCATAACCGGTTGTTATAGGCTGCGAGGCTACGTATTGGACGGAATAATGCAGTTCAAACTAAATTGTACTGTACTCTGCTATGCTCCGACGTTGATGCTCCCCACCTTCAACTACACGCACTGGCAAGCGTTGTAAAGAGTGCAGCCAAACAACAACAACCCCCATAACTGGCGGTTTTGGGAGCTCTTCCCCCAGAGGGCGCTTGACAAAGGCGCTGTAAGTTCAGTAACTCATTGACTGTCACGAGCCTGTTCATACGCACGAGAAATTCAAGAGGTCACTGCAGGCAGATGGTAACATCCCAAGCAACACAGCGACGTGGCGGTGCTGGTCACGTGTATTTGATTTGCACAAAACAGCACAATGTGAGTGAATGTTGGCTCTTCAGTAGCATATAATTTATACAGCAACAGGAACCCATTTTCATATGCTCCTCCCCATGACGCACGTGGCATGGGGAGGCCCTCATCCAGCAGTGGAGCTCCGTAGCATCGGGCGTCTGGAGGGGGGGGGTTGAACGCCACCTTCTGAAGGCCACCTTCTGAAGGCCCCCTTCTGAAGGCTTACATTCTTACAGTAAAGTAAAAAAATATTGCTACCAAAACTATTTGACAGTAATTAAGCGCTGGGGTGTCACGGAATGTCCTCAACACACAGGGGGGGGATGCGCTAAAACACAGAACCCATGACAGACACAAGCAGATCATATCATCACTCGTTCCGTCGAGCATTTAACATCGGCTTAAAGATCCTTCACGATACCTCGGATGCCCTTTAACTGCTTCCTTTCTTTCCACCCCTTGCTCGGTCCCTCTCCTGTTCTCCATGTGTAATTCTGTGCTCTGAGATGTTTACTACCTCTTGAAGGGTATTACACGTGATAATTGTTTTATTACCCTTTTATCTGGCAACAAAACTGACGCCTTTTTTTTACAAGGAGTCATGTTTGCATAGACCACAATACCTTACAGTCGTAATGCAAACAAAAAACATAACTCTGATAATGTATGCACTGTCCTGGAAGTTTTGTTTCCAGATAAAAGGGTCAAAAAACAATTCTCATATTTTTTCTTCTGGCAAATGAGGTTCCAATGGTGTAAATGCTTACCCCGAGCTCTCATACTCTGATGGTGAATTGTCTTTGAGTTGTGCGCCTTTTGGCGTCATCTGGTCCAACACCATGTTAGACTAGGCTCTAAGGAAAGCTGTCTCCGGTGTGGACCAATCAACTTCAAGGACAGTGCATACATTATCAGTTATGTTTTTTGTTTGCATTACGACTGCAGGTATTGTGGTCAATGCAAACATGACTCCTTGTAAAAAAAAGTGTCAGTTTTGTTGCCAGATAAAAAGGTAAAAAAACAATTATCATATTTCTTATTCTGGCAAATGAGGTTCCAATGGTATTACACGTGCCAGCTTTGACGAATGTTTGTTCGGCATTGTATCTGCTGTGCCCCCATATTGAGTTGGTGTATGTCCCCCCCAGCCCGTTGAAATAAGAACACGGTGCAGGGTGGTTGTAGCAGTGGATCGACAGACGTGGCTGCACATGTGCACGTGCACGCACAAGCACGCACGCATCCGCGATGCCTTGTTCTGGCATTTAGGGCCCACGTTTCGTGTCCTTCCGTGAGCAATGCAGAGGGAGCGGCTGGTCCACCGGGGTGGCTCGCGCATCCCTACCGACGAGCAGGCCGGCTACAGCGGCGACTCGGCCGAGCCGCCTCCACCCAACCGCGGGCCCGTGGTCTCCGCCCGCAAGGCGCGACCTCCTCCTCCTGCTGCTGCTTCCGCCGAAGGTTCGAACCAAATATGCTCAAATTGCCTCCCCCCCCAAATATGTAAATAAAAACAATTTGCTAAACCTTGGCCACAATATCTGGACTTGGCTTCATATAAATAAATGCATAGATTTCTGTTTATATGATTGTGGTTATGGTTGTACTTTATTAATCCCTAATCTCTGCCATTGCATACAATGAAACAAGAAATGGTAAAACATTCAAAACAGAGCAATGTAATACAATACACTATTAGACATTATTATTAAAAAAAAAAAAGTCCCCATCCCATGTGTTAGTGAATTTTTGAATATTTTAGGCAGGAAATTCGTTTTCAAATTTAGATTTTTTTTTTTCTGGGTTGGGACCCCCAGACCCCCTGGAAGATTTGGTCCCCCCCCCCAATGTTGACTCCATGGCTACGGCCTTGGTCCGAATCGCCAGTGTCGCCGAGATTGACCAAGCAAACCGGTGCTCGTCGTGACTCTCATCGGGACGACATCGGGGGAGTGCTGGCGGGCTCTGCGTGTCTCTAATCCAGCACCGTGGATCACACAAATGTTGTGAAACTCGTCTCCTGTAGGCGTCGAGGAGGTGACATAACCCTCACTCGCCAAGAGATGGTAGTTCGAGCAAAAAAATGTGGACTCCACATTTTCCGGCTTTATGGGATGTAGTAATATCCCCCCCCCCCCCCCGCGGTTTACGTTGGAGATGCGGATCTTCAAACGACGTCAATCAAAGCAATTTGATCTACGAGAGCTGAACAAAGACAACGGAGGGTACTGTGTTAATGCGCGCATCTTCATCCTTGACGTACCCACAATGTACATTAAATTACTTAAAATACTCTACACAACACTGAATAACACAAATTATACAGGGCACAATATTATACAGTACACCATAAAAATCACCAAAATACATAAATAATATACAGTACAGTACATTTCTGTATGCGTGAGAGCCAAGTAGTTTGTCTAGAGGGTAGGTAAAAGCGAAGGCTGAGGCGACGGATACAAGAAAGCATGGATGATGCTGTCAGCGACGTGTGGATTCAGGCGACGCAAATCTGTAGCAACACGACCACACTCAATGATAGCTGGCGCCAAACTGTGCCACATGCCCTCCCGCATGGCCTTGTGGGAGCCTCCATGTACCAATAAAGTAATTTTATTTAAGTTTTTCTTTGGGTTCCATTCGAATCATGTACATGTACGTCATCGGAACGGGAAAGGGTTAATATGGGGAACTGCAGAGCTACAAGTTGAAATAATAACAATTATTGGTGGGCCCATGCCCCACATAAGTGATTCAAAAAAGCCACGTCAATCCGGTTAAATTTTTCACTATTGCCCATTCTGTGGTGATGGCCACACTCGCTGGCTGCTTTCCGCAGCACTTGACAGGCACGGCGGAGAGGAAGATCGAGGGCGAGCGCTGACCGTGCGTGCGGTCGGGGTGCCCGACGTGGACTCCCGCGTGACGGACGCGGCGGAGACGTTCGCGAACCTGCAGGCCGAGCACATGGGGGTCACCCGCGCCCGGCATGACCTCTGCAGGAGCGCGTGCTGCGGCACCGCCGCCAGCCAGCACGGGCTTGCCGAGTGCCTCCGCAACCTGGAGCTCCGGCACGGTGAGAGATGCCGCGAGAGGCATTTTGTCCGATTGGGAATATTGGCTCGGACGTCGGCGATGGAGTTGAACAATGCTGGTTGCGTTTGAGTACACGAACTCGCCTTTGTCATCCACTATTTTTCTTACCACTAATATCTCCATCGTGACCAGCATTGTGATTTTTCAGAAGTGAAGTCTGTAAGCTCGTGTCCATAATCATGCTATGGCTTATAATTAGGTACTTCTATTATCTGACATGTTAAGAAAGTGGGCTTGGGCAGAACATGTCGCTAAAAAAGATGATGGGATGGTGGTTAAGATAAAGTTATGGATACCAATGAAGTAAGTAAATGTACCCAGGATGATATCCACTATAGAAATGGAGCAATGAAATTCTATCATGTGCAGAAGAGCCTTTCATCCAGCATGACGAAGGCGACCTGACATGTCACAAATGCTTAACAGATTAATATTACAATACCAAGTTCGTTTCAGTGAATTTGTAAAGAATATGGTAACAGATTTTATTGAATGTTCACATTTTTAACATGAAACAGGTCTATTTCAAAATCTTACATTTTGTACGTGTTTGTACATAACCTTATCATTGCCCCCATGAGTTTACAACTAAAATCCCCCCCCCCCCCCGTTACGTACTGTATTATTTTCAACCCTACAGAGACGGCGCTTAAGATAGAGCTCAAGGGCTACAACTTCTCATTGGTGATGAAAGACGGCGGCGTGGACATGCCGACGAGCGTGCAGGAGGCTGCTCGACTCGTTTCCGAGTTGAGCACACGGGCGAGAGCCTTCCTGGGAATGAGCACGCGGCTGGACGAGATGATGGCCGCCCTGCTGCGCACCGAGTCCACAATCTCCAAGGAGGTTTCCGAAACCAACAGAGACTACGCGGACAACGTGCGGGCTCACGACAACATGCAGAGGAGCCTGGCCGAGTTACGGCGGGGACGCAAGGACGTCGCTCGCTACAAGGAAGATATAAGCAGCCTCTTGCTGCAGGTCGCTCAGATAGCTGGGGTGATGGAACAACCTTCCGAAGACTAAGGATCAGATTTCTCACGTTGCAGAATTGGCGAAACCACACGTCAACCTAATCTTGGGTACGTAGGAGTCGCGGAAACAACAGCGCTCACCGCGAGCACAGGATAAGGGAGAGAAACCGAGACAAAGGAGTGAACAGAAAGGAAAATAGAAAAACACGGAGAAATAAGCAGAGAAAAACAAAATCGGGCATATGGAGTCAGGGGGGGGGGGGGGGAGGGAAATAGGAAAACTCGACTCACGTAAAGAGACAGAAAACGAGACAATGAGATAGTGGGAGACGGAGGGAGAGACATTGACAGAAAAGGCAGAGGTAAACAGAACTTGTTATTAGATAGTGGTGGGGGGGGGGGGGGGCGATAAGACAGACTTGATAATTAAAAAAAACGATTCAGCTTCAATTGATTCTGAAACTTAGACAAGGTACGTGGCATTCAGTCCGATAGTCAAATGTGCTGTACGGTGCACCCTTACTTCTTGGTGTCGGAAACACACCTTTTGGCAAAGAAACAAAATCTTTGGCTGGCCAATAATATGGAACGAATTATCACAAATGTGTTATATTTTGCTATTTTATCCTGTTATATTCTACGTAATCATATAATTATGATGCAGCTACCTTAAGCACTCCTGCACAAGCATAAATGAAAACATTTTTTAATTAAGTACTGAATACCAATATTCAGCATCTTAAATAGGTATTGTTGCAAAGAAACCATGACCTTTTTTTAAAATATTATATACACTTTGCATGTTTTATTCGATCATAAGCTTAAAGTTTTGCACATAACCTAATATCGGAATTTAAATGTACCCTACAATTGGGTTGTGCAAATAAGTGCTTGAGTAAGTTATATTTTTTAGCACTGCATTAACCCAACATGAAATAATTAATTACTGGAAACATCACGTGTCACGGCTTTTATTTCATAAAATAAACATTCCAGGGTTATAATATTTTTTTCACGAGCAAATGTACAAAAAATGCTACTGCCATTAACGTGCCCTTTAAAGATGCAGAGGACAGCGTAGGATATATTCAGAACGTCCTCGAAATAACGGTGATTTTTTATTAGCAAAAAAAAATGTGCTCCAGAAGATCAAAACATCAGAACAGTATGCAAGGGAATGCGGACTTGCTAATTAGCTGCATCTTTGGAATATGCAGAAACTGTCACGTGCCAAGCAGTCCCAGTTTTGTATTGAAGAGGTAATGTAGCTTTCGACTGTGCATTCCCGATTTAGTTTGTGATTATGTTCACGTTTTTTTTTGTTAACTTTGAAATAGTTTTTTTATTTTTCTGAACATATAACATTACAAATTGTAAATTAGATGAATCTGATCCTCATGGACATAACAGGGTTTTGTTAGGAAATTTATATTTTACCGGGGTACCCTTAAATTGAATTAAGCCAGTATTTTGACAAGACTGTCAAATGCGCTTTAACTCGACTCGTCAGGCTTTGGCTCCGTTGTCTGCTGTGAGATATGCTGCTGAAATATTTGGGTGAGGTTCTGAGCAGGTTGTTGGAGCACGGAGCTGGTCTGCGAGCACACGTGCGACAGCGTGCCCACCAGTTGGCTCTGTAGCACCTCCAACTTTGGCAGCTTCGAGTAATCCAGTAAACTTTGCTTGCTCATCAGCACATCGTCCACGCAGCCCCCTGGGAGGTTTGGAAAAACCAAATTACACAATGGGACAATGTTATGAGGTCGGGTAAACATTACTGTTTTTAAAAGCAGTTCTAAAGAATTTAGTTATCAATCTATATTTAACAGTGCTTATCTCCAGTGGCTTCCTAATATCGTCCCTTTCTGTCAATACACTTCCGGATAAGGGTCTCCCCAAACCATGCGGGCTGTGGGGGTTATTTGACAACCGTCAACGTGAAGGTAGGGAATGCAGACGTTAAGTGCGTAGAAACATTGTAAAACAATGGATTTTTATGCACTTTCCTCTGCTGCCCACCACAGCTCTATAGGACGATTGTTGGACGACCACAAAGTGGAACTCGTTTTTGTCAACTCCAAAGAGATGACACTCACATCTACCGCAAACTGAGATTTCAACCCGCAAGTGCAACTTTCCAATTACAAGCCACACGACCTAACCCCACTGCGCCAACCAGCTGGCTGTGTATGAGAAAGGGTGCAACGATATTGTCCTTAAGGAGTGCTCACCTAAGAGAATAACCTGTGGGACTGCACGCAGCACTCGTAGGAGTTCCCGCACGCGAGGTTCATGACTCACGACCAGAACGTTATGGCAAATGAAGAGTGGCTTCAAGTTCTTGTATTTGCTGTCATTCAGGAAATACTGTACAACCTGTGAACACATTTTGTGCTATTAATAAACAAAAAACATTCGCTTTGCCTCTAACTACATTTTAATACAATTGTTGATATATTTTAAATTTTAGACACGTTCAATCGCTATAAAATATTTGCGGTCACCTTGTTTGGAAATATCTTGGCATAAATGTCGTGCTTTCGAAGGTGATGCCTAAACATCACCCAGTCTTCATCCTTCATCGGTCCAAGCTGGCATATGGTGACCATGCGATTTTCACGGAACAACTTCTCCACCTCCCTTTCCAGCAGCATCTCAAGTTTGTTCTTCTGCTCTCACACAGACATGCAATCCCTTATGCAACCAGTGGTCAAAATGGCTTTGAGGATTGCATATTTTAAAATGATGCAAATGGACCATAGGGTTTTTTTTTCCAACATAGCCATCACAAATAGACAATGCTTGAAGAATACCATATGGTAAATGCAATCTCTTTTGGGTACAATGTTTAAATTACCATATTTGTCCAGACCAAAGATAGGGTATACTTACATGGGGCTGCAAATGAGCATTGTGCATTACATGATCATATGGGTCAGAGAATATATCAAAAGTTATTGACGTAATTTTTATTGTTAACAAAAGCAGGCTTGTGTAGGACAGTCGCTAGAAGGGATGATGGCGAGTGGTCAAGATTACCGGTGGAGTGGTATCCAAGGCAGGGAACATGCCCGGGGGAACATTGTATGTATGTACGTTGAACTTCTTTTGCACGGTACGTAGCCAACAATGATGATTAAATGGAACGAGAATGTCTGTCCTTACTCGAAAACATTATGCCTGGAATAAGACAAGACGTACCTCTTCCATCACGTCGGCAGACTTGATGCATTTAGGGGGCACGAGCGGCTTTGGAGTGATGACTTTCGTCAACTCGAGCACTTTTTGCTTCAAGTGTGGAATGGGCCGTTTGTGGCGCGTCACTGCCCTGGCGTTTCTCACAAACTCCAGCCGCGGAACCCAGGCTGTGGGTCGACCCCACAAAAACAAAGCAGAGCAAATTATTCAACCGTATTTCACACGTCAATGACCAAAAACATGTAAAATGCACCCAATCTCATCAGATGTCAGAATACAAGTGGGTATGAGCCTGAATAGTGCTTGGATGGGCAACCCCCATACACAACAGGCATTATCGGATGCTTTGGGGCTATATTGTGGGCAGAAGCGGGTGGTGCAGCATAATCCAGCGCTGTACTGAACTGTTTTGCTCCCATATCGATGCTCCCCACCTCCATAACCAGCATCGCGAAGTATGGTGAAATAACCCTCACGACTCGCACGATGTCGGGTGGCCTTTATCCGGGAGTGGATTGATAAAAGATAGAAACTTGTACCTCGCACATCACATTACACCTCATGGATGGCTATTTACAGATTGACAAGTCGTCAGCAAGTGAAATCTCAAAATGAGCTTTTCAACCAGTACCAATTGCCTTACATGCGATATGCGTGAGGATCCATATTGTATTACTGAATTTCAGAATCAGAATCTCTATTTATCCTGGAGGAATCCGACGAGCTGTAATTCAGCAATGGCCACAATGCTCCATATACACATGAGTAAAACTAATATTGTACAGCCCTTTTTCAATGCACTGCCAGACAAAGGCCTCCCCATGCTCTATCAATCTGGAGATTATTTGCCATACTGCTAAGATGGAGTTGGTGAAATGGGGGGGTAGGCAGGGACAGGCCATATTTATCTCAATAAACCTAGGTCTATCAAAACTGTGCAGATAGAATTTGTCATCGAGATGAGTGGTCGCTGCAAATATTACTCAGGTCGCTAAACTCAAAGTGCAGTGCGTTAACCACTGTCACCACCACACACATTAGTGCCATGGAGGAAAGGTACTGCAATTGTATAGAGGATAAAATATAAGAACAAATCCATTAACGCAAGACTTGCAGAGGCACAACGTACAGCACTTTGGGCATTTTTTCGCATTTAAGTAAATGTCAGCTTTTGCCACTAAACCTCACAGTAATGCTAATATATTAAATGTACAAACCACTATCACAACTACTAAGCTGATGAAAAACAACCGACATCACTATGAGCAGGGTTTTAAATCTTAAACCAATTTTGGTGAGAGGCAACAAGCAACACGTATACCACTTCACATAATTACTAGACTTAATAACATCTCGGGAAAGTATTAGTGCATATGGACCCGAGTGGTTAAACTAATTCCCCTAATCAATTAGGGACTCAAGAGTAGTGTAAGAATGTTTTTATCCATTTTTTGACGTTTTAAGTATAATTCCATCAACTGGTACATTGTTTTCAATTCAAATTCAATGCAAAATGTCCCTATTAAAAATGCATCTCAACAGTTGTAATTTCACAGTTTTCACGTGATCGTACACACTGCCATAGGATATTGTACAGTAGATACAATAAAGTTTTGATGGCTGTCGGGCGGGCAAGTGCACGGCAGTGACGTCACCACGCACGCCTGCGTGATAACGTCACCCGCATTCCCCACAGCATTGATTCGGGTTCGTGCGTGCCAACGTCAATCCTCCCTATAACAATAGGTTTTACCCTTTCTGGCAATAAAACGGGTGTTAAGATGTTAAAACACCAAACAGAAACATTTTGCAAGGAATCCCGTCTGCATTAATCACACGTACTAGTAGTGAACATGCAAACAAAAACATGCTCCGGTTAAATATGCATTGGCTTTGAAACTGATTGGTCCACACAAGAGACAGCTTTCTTTAGAACCTCGTCTCAAAGTGTTAGACCAGAGAACGCCAAAAGGCGAACAGCACAAAGACAATGCACTACCAGGGCATTTATAGTTCGGGGGTGAGCAGCTACAACATGGGTCCCATATTGTGAAGCCCTCCCCTTCAGTCACTCGGCCACCACGGCCCCGTATCCCCCGCAAATGCGCTGGCAGTGCTCGTCTTGACCTAACAACGACTGTCATGCTACTGATGATCCTATTAGAATCTGTGTTTATTCCAGAGAAATCCTCCGGGTTGTTCCATCCACATTAAGAAACATGCGTTTACATTACTTGGCTGCTATACATGAGCCACTTGAGTTATCATTTGTGGCAAAGACCGGTTCTGAAAAATACCTAGTGGCTCAGTGAGCTTTAGCGGGTAAAATTTTTGTTTAGTGATTTTCTTACCTTTCCTATATTTTGCAAACCTATAGTTTTGTAGTGTTTGTTGTAACTTTCTGCCCTAACCCTGCTTGACATCGGTGAAAAAGAGCTTCACATCTTATCTGATTTCTCAAGGATAAATAAAGATTCTGACAAGCCTATGACCACCTCATCCGAAATGATTACGCCCGTTTGCTCAACAGAGCCTGAGTCTCAAGACTATTTCGGGAGAGTAGTGCCAAGTTTTACGCAAAAGTTACATCACTAAGTGAATCGCACTTGAGTAATTTGCAGGTACCGTTTTAGCATTGGGATGTTCGGCCAATAACAGTTCCATTGTACGAGTTGTTTAAGCCATGGGAGGAAGCTAGCGAGCTTGGGAGGGAACCCATTCAGAACAGGAGGGGGGGGGGGGGGTCCCACGAAGAAAAGTGCCTGAGTCGTGAACAGAGGTCGCAAACGGGGTTTGATTCCTTACCCGTACCCGGCCGCACCAGGGTCGCAAACGGGTACACGTTACCCGGCCGTACCCGTAACCTACACGTACCCGGCCGGGTACGGGTACCTGATTGCGACCTCTGGGATGAAGCCATGTTCCAGGCGCGGGTGGGTTGATTCTGGGAACTTGAATTGTGAGAAGAGACAAGACGTTGGGAAATGAGTGACAGTTACTCACCAGTGAATCACGGCCTACCCGTACCCGACCGCACCAGGGTCGCAAACGGGTACCCGTACCCGGCCGGATACGGGTAGCCGGGTATCCGGTAGGGTACGGGTATCAGGTACCCGGTTGCGACCTCTGGTCGTGAATCAAACCCAACAACCTCCTTGCTGTCAGCCACAAGTCTTAACACTGCGCCATCCTGCCGCCCAATTAATGCGCCAATCTCGTCAGATCTGGAAGGTTAAGCAGGTTTGAGTCCGAATAATGCTTGGATGGATGACGACCGTGGGGGGAAAAAAACAAGCTGTTGTTATATGTTCGTGGGGCCACGTTCTGGGCAGTGCAGTCAAATCAGTGCTGTACTGTCATCACTCAGCCACAGTGACAGGAGTCAAGAATGGTTAAACAACCCCCACAAATCCGCACGGCGTAGGCAGCCTTTAGTCCAGCAGTGGATTGCCAAATACTGTAGGTCGTATATGCGCATATGCGGACAGACCTCTTAGCCAAGTAACATGCAATTTGCTTGTGCGCTATTCGTCATGACAGCACACTCACGACGCTGCCTGCATGCCAGCTCGAACTCCTCGACCAAGTGCGATACGAGATAAGCGAACACGGCCCAAAGTGTCGAAGGCTCGATGACAAGGAGGTCTCGGGCCAGACCCAGCAGGTGCCATGGGTCGGCTGAGATGACCGGTAGATGCACCACCAGCTGTACCCCCTACTGTGCCAACGTTGTTGCGTTTTATCCGTCCGGTGCTCCGCCCGTTGTTGTGAGCGTCGCTCCTCTACCCTCCCCGTTGTTGCTGGAGGGCCACTGCCTTCAACTACCCAGCAGCAGCGACCTTCACGAGCCTCCTCCACAGAGGTCGATCTCGACACCGCTGGTTACCAGTCATCGGCATGTCCACTCAGCTCCACGTCCTCCTGTAACCGCGTCAGCTCCGACTCTCAGTCCAGCCCACGGTCGTGCCCGTTTAGCCCCCTCTATGCGACCAAACGTTCAACAATGAGCAGTTTCATTACGGACGCTTAAACACAAACACCCCCCTCGGAACACAGAGACACACACAGAGATGAACGCACCGCGGGACCACGCCAACCCGCTCCTCGTGAAGGTCGCCATCTTACTCCGGGGAAGTAACACCCCCCACCACCACGCATCCCCTCCCGCAACGTCCGCGCTTCCCATTGGCCACGCGTCTCGACCAATCGGCGCGTCGCGTTCTGAGTAAGCCCGCATCCTATTGGACCACCAAAACAAAACAAACTCAAAAACAGTTTCAGCGGCGACGGCTGCGGCGCGTGGCGCGCGGCTTCGGGTTTCCCCTCAGCCCCCTCACCCCCTTCACCCCCTTCCCGCCTCCGCTGCATTATTTATGTCGCGGCCGCCGCCGCCGCAGCGCTGTTATCTCCTCGCTTGTGTCGCCGTTCGAATGCCTCGTCGCGGCGTGGGGACGAGTGGCAGAGGCCCCAGGTGAGTTTCGGCGGTCTCGTGTTAGGGATCGAGGGGGGGGGGGGGGGGGGGGGGGGGGGGTCTCGGTTTAGATTTCGCAGAGCGGATGGGCGCCGCGAGGCCTCTGATTGGCTGAGGGGTTGCAGCTCGCCGGCGTCGCTGACCAATGGGAGCGCGGAGTTGGGGCCGTCTCGGTCGACACGCTGTATGGAATGTAATAGGCTCTGGCTGTATTTACCATTGAGATTTGCATCCATCTAGCAGTGGACTGACTTATACAGCGGCAGTGACTGGCTTCTATCCATATAGCAATGGACTGACTTATACAGCGGCAGTGACTGGCTTCTATCCATATAGCAGTGGACTGACTTATACAATGGCAGTGACTGACTTATACAATGGCAGTGACTGGCTTCTATCCATCTAGCAGTGGACTGACTTATACAGTGGCAGTGACTGGCTTCTATCCATCTAGCAGTGGACTGACTTACACAGCGGCAGTGACTGGCTTCTATATATCTAGCAGTGGACTGACTTATACAGTGGCAGTGACTGGCTTATATCCATATAGCAATGGACTGACTTATACAGCGGCAGTGACTGGCTTCTATCCATATAGCAGTGGACTGACTTATACAATGGCAGTGACTGACTTATACAATGGCAGTGACTGGCTTCTATCCATCTAGCAGTGGACTGACTCACACAGTGGCAGTGACTGGCTTCTATCCATCTAGCAGTGGACTGACTCACACAGTGGCAGTGACTGGCTTCTATCTATCTAGCAGTGGACTGACACACACAGCGGCAGTGACTGGCTTCTATCCATCTAGCAGTGGACTGACACACACAGCGGCAGTGACTGGCTTCTATCTATCTAGCAGTGGACTGACACACACAGCGGCAGTGACTGGCTTCTATCCATCTAGCAGTGGACTGACACACACAGCGGCAGTGACTGGCTTCTATCCATCTAGCAGTGGACTGACTCACACAGCGGCAGTGACTGGCTTCTATCCATCTAGCAGTGGACTGACTCATACAGTGGCAGTGACTGGCTTCTATCCATCTAGCAGTGGACTGACTCACACAGTGGCAGTGACTGGCTTCTATCCATCTAGCAGTGGACTGACTCACACAGTGACAGTGACTGGCTTCTATCTATCTAGCAGTGGACTGACTCACACAGTGGCAGTGACTGGCTTCTATCCATCTAGCAGTGGACTGACTCACACAGTGGCAGTGACTGGCTTCTATCTATCTAGCAGTGGACTGACTCACACAGCGGCAGTGACTGGCTTCTATCCATCTAGCAGTGGACTGACTCACACAGTGGCAGTGACTGGCTTCTAACTCTCTAGCAGTGGACTGACTCACACAGTGGCAGTGACTGGCTTCTAACTATCTAGCAGTGGACTGACTCACACAGTGGCAGTGACTGGCTTCTATTTCTCTAGCAGTGGACTGACTCATACAGTGGCAGTGACTGGCTTCTATCTATCTAGCAGTGGACTGACTCATACAGTGGCAGTGACTGCCTTCTATCTATCTAGCAGTGGACTGACTCGTACAGCGGCAGTGACTGGCTTCTAACTATCTAGCAGTGGACTGACTCACACAGTGGCAGTGACTGGCTTCTAACTATCTAGCAGTGGACTGACTCACACAGTGGCAGTGACTGGCTTCTAACTATCTAGCAGTGGACTGACTCACACAGCGGCAGTGACTGGCTTCTATTTCTCTAACATTGGACTGACTCATACAGTGGCAGTGACTGGCTTCTATCTCTTTAGCAGTGGACTGACTCATACAGCGGCAGTGACTGGCTTCTAACTATCCAGCAGTAGACTGACTCACACAGCGGCAGTGACTGACTTCTATCCATCTAGCAGTGGACTGACTCATACAGTGGCAGTGACTGGCTTTTATCCATCTAGCAGTGGACTGACTCGTACAGCGGCAGTGACTGGCTTCTATCTACTTAGCAGTGGACTGACTCACACAGCGGCAGTGACTGGCTTCTATCCATCTAGCAGTGGACTGACCCATACAGCGGCAGTGACTGGCTTCTATCTATTTAGCAGTGGACTGACTCACACAGTGGCAGTGACTGGCTTCTATCTATCTAGCACTGGACTGACTAACACAGCGGCAGTGACTGGCTTCTATCTACTTGGCAGTGGACTGACTCACACAGTGGCAGTGACTGACTTCTATCTACTTAGCAGTGGACTGACTCACACAGCAGCAGTGACTGGCTTCTATCCATCTAGCAGTGGACTGACTCATACAGTGGCAGTGACTGGCTTCTATCTAGTAGTGGACTGACTCACACAGTGGCAGTGACTGGCTTCTATCTCTCTAGCAGTGAACTGACTCGCACAGTGGCAGTGACTGGCTTCTATCTAGCAGTGGACTTACTCACACAGCGGCAGTGACTGGCTTCTATCTAGTAGTGGACTGACTCACACAGTGGCAGTGACTGGCTTCTATCCATCCAGCAGTGGACTGACTCATACAGTGGCAGTGACTGGCTTCTATCCATCTAGCAGTGGACTGACTCACACAGTAACAGTGACTGGCTTCTATCTATTTAGCAGTGGACTGACTCATACAGTGGCAGTGACTGGCTTCTATCCATCCAGCAGTGGACTGACTCATACAGCGGCAGTGACTGGCTTCTAACTATCCAGCAGTAGACTGACTCACACAGCGGCAGTGACTGACTTCTATCCATCTAGCAGTGGACTGACTCATACAGTGGCAGTGACTGGCTTTTATCCATCTAGCAGTGGACTGACTCGTACAGCGGCAGTGACTGGCTTCTATCTACTTAGCAGTGGACTGACTCACACAGCGGCAGTGACTGGCTTCTATCCATCTAGCAGTGGACTGACCCATACAGCGGCAGTGACTGGCTTCTATCTATTTAGCAGTGGACTGACTCACACAGTGGCAGTGACTAGCTTCTATCTATCTAGCACTGGACTGACTAACACAGCGGCAGTGACTGGCTTCTATCTACTTGGCAGTGGACTGACTCACACAGTGGCAGTGACTGACTTCTATCTACTTAGCAGTGGACTGACTCACACAGCAGCAGTGACTGGCTTCTATCCATCTAGCAGTGGACTGACTCATACAGTGGCAGTGACTGGCTTCTATCTAGTAGTGGACTGACTCACACAGTGGCAGTGACTGGCTTCTATCTCTCTAGCAGTGAACTGACTCGCACAGTGGCAGTGACTGGCTTCTATCTAGCAGTGGACTTACTCACACAGCGGCAGTGACTGGCTTCTATCTAGTAGTGGACTGACTCACACAGTGGCAGTGACTGGCTTCTATCCATCCAGCAGTGGACTGACTCATACAGTGGCAGTGACTGGCTTCTATCCATCTAGCAGTGGACTGACTCACACAGTAACAGTGACTGGCTTCTATCTATTTAGCAGTGGACTGACTCATACAGTGGCAGTGACTGGCTTCTATCCATCCAGCAGTGGACTGACTCATACAGCGGCAGTGACTGGCTTCTATCTATCTAACAGTGGACTGACTCATACAGTGGCAGTGACTGGCTTCTATCTATCTAGCAGTGGACTGACTCACACAGTGGCAGTGACTGGCTTCTATCCATCTAGCAGTGGACTGACTCACACAGCGGCAGTGACTGGCTTCTATCCATCTAGCAGTGGACTGACTCATACAGCGGCAGTGACTGGCTTCTATCTATCCAGCAGTGGACTGACTCATACAGCGGCAGCGACTCGCTTCTATCCAGGAATGCATTGACTCCGCAGTAGTGACCCGCTTCCATCCAGCAGTGGATTGAACTTGGCTATTAACGATGAACTCTTATAGCGCGTTGCGTTAAAGCAACGCTACTGTAAAACATTGGTGCAAGCGATGTTCTTGTAAACTAAAATTGTTTAATACTGGTTTTTTTTTGGGTTCGGTCGCGTAAATCTATTATGGATGACATTGGTCGCGAAAGCCTCCGTGTTAAACTTTAATAGTCTTCACATCACCACTGTGGTTGGAGCCATGAATATGACGGCCCTTAATAGAGAACGTCACGAAGCAGTCCTTAACCAGATAAGTGGGCAGTCGTGTTATTTGAGTGGATTAAAGCTCTGTGACCCCTAATGCATCATACTACTGCGCTATTAAAATTACTCCCGAGTTTCCCGGCTGGCAGCTGGCTGGCCGCCTCTCCGCGCCAACACAAACTTTATGAATGACTGCGAGCCATTGGCAGCAACACTAGCTGGGGAAGTGGCTAAACGGAATTTCCTGTGTAACAAATAAACATTGGGTTAATTTGAAACAGGGGAATAAGTTCCGGAAGGTATCTAATAGGTAGCGACATGGAATCGGTGGGACTAACGAGTACAGTTGGCTGACAGGGTTAATGTAAAATTAGTCAAACTTTTGTGCTCCTATTAACGTAATTATTTTTGCCAGAATATTCTTAGTCCTCGAGCTCATTTCATGCTAATCTCTCTCTCCCTAATCTCCGCCATTAACACAACTGACGTGCTTGTGTCCGGGGATGGAATTCCTTTCCAACTCAGACCCCGCCTGCTTGCCCTTCGCCACATATATAACCTCTTGCTGTAACAGCTCTCTCGCTGGTTCAGCAGTTCCACTTCTGGATAATTTTTTTCTGTCTGAGGACGACCGCTTGTGTTGCGATCGAAACGTCGTAATATATTATGTTTTATTTTATTTTTCTGTCTGCCTGACTTTACCGAAAGAACCAAAGAGTATGGATTCCTGCAGTTACGAAAGCCTCAAATCAAGATTGATATAAAAAGACACTAACAATAGATATTATCTTGGTACATTCCTTCAAAGCGATTACTTTTAGTGCTTCGATTATAGGATTGTGAGAAGTGTGAAATATACAGCTGTCTGTTCTTGTCTGTTGCAGCCCAATGTGTTCTCTGCTAGTTATTAATTATTACGCTTGTTTTTGTTTTATCAAATCCAAAAACATTCTTCTTGGTTCTTTCGGTAAAGTCACGTAGAAGGGAAGTAATAAAATAATAAAAATAAAACATTATAAAATAATTCTCACGATGTTTTGGCCACAACGCAAGCAGCCGTCCTCAGGTGAAGACCAGGTCTGTCGGGGAGACAGCGTCTGAATGTCAAGGCGCCCTTCCCCCCTTCCAACCCAGCTTAAATATACGCCCCTAGCGTGGTGGTGTTTCATTCAGATGCTGTCTCCCCGACAGACCTGGTCTTCACCTGAGGACGGCTGCTTGCGTTGTGGCCGAAACGTCGTGAGAATTATTTTATTATGTTTTATTTTTATTATTTTATTACTTCCCTTCTACGTGACGTTACCGAAAGAACCAAGAAGATGAATCCCTGCAGTCACGAAAGCTTTAAATCGAAAAATCCAAAAACATTATTTTGTTGTTGTGGTTGCCGACCCCTGGACTAGACGATGTAGGACGAGACTTATGAGTGTGTTCTGGTTGGCAAGTTATTGTTAGTTATAAAGTCCGGTTGGATAGTTAGGGTCAGGGATAGTGCCAATATATGTATGCAGAGTTAGGGTTAGCGTGTGAGTGCTAGGCATTGGTTGGCTAGTTAGTGTCAAGGTTCAGGCTACTTGTTTAGTTTGTTCAGGCTAGTAGTGCGCAATGTATGGGTGCGTTAGGTCGGGTTCGTGCTTGGAGAGCTGTCTGTTAGTTTGTCAGGATTAAGGTGATTGCTGGTCGACTAGTTAGTGGCAGGGTTATGGCTATTTCTCCGGGCTGTATGGCTGGTTTGTCAGCGTTAAGGCTAGTTGCTCGGTAGGTTCTGATTGTCCTTAGCTTCTCTTTTTCCATTGCCAACGACTGTATATAACCATGAGCTTTTTGTGTTCCCTAATTTTCCTTTGATCAAATGTTCCTTTTCGTTTGGATTCTGTTGAAGTGGGAAAATTCCAAAGCAATGTGTTGTAACAACTTCGTCAAGATCTGACTCCAGGTGTGGTTACATTTTGAAAATATATGAATAACAGTGTTCTTCTTGGTCATTGCTCACACGTGCAAGTGATTTATATGACAATGACATTTTAAATTCTAACATTGAAGAAACCTTTTGGAGTTGGCCGTAAACAACATTGGAAGTGTGCAGGCATGTGCAAACACTTTGCAAGTTTTGAACAAAACTACAAGCAGCCATGGGGATCCGTCTGAAGTAGAGTAGCTTTGAATACTATCTATTGAGGGGGGCCAGCATACGGTTTACCCCTCTGCACAAGAGTTGGAAAAGCAAATATGTCATTGAATCCCACCCGATATAATAACACAATAAACGGTGTGATTGTGACTATAACACCGGTCCTCCCATTATGTCTTGCATATCACCGCCGATTGGCACGGTTGGCTACGTAAGGTGCGAAAGAAGTTCAACATACAGTCGATACAAACATCACGTGACATCCACGTATATATCGGCCCACAGCCTTGTTTTAGACCACCAACTCTTAAGCAGCCACAATTGTGGCCATTCTATTTTAGACAGCAGCACCAGGGGACTCCCTCATGTACCACGTGCCATTACCCAATGAATTTTGCACGCACTCAAAAGATTGCGTTTCTACAAGGGTTTGGTTGGATTCCAAAGCCATGAATGGCAAGTATCTGCAAGTGACCTTGTGAGGTCTGACATTGCCGTTCACCGTAAATTGCATCCACAAAGCAGCATTGGAGCTGTTAACCAATACACGATTGTACACAATTGTACGCAGTTGTGTTGTGAATGCATAGCTATTATACCGCTGGCTTGCAGTGCCACGAATTACAGACTACAGTTAGGTACACTTTTTTTGATGGCACCAAAATAACACTAGAAAATGTCACAATAAAGCATTTGTCAGCACAGATGAGTAACCGCAGTAGTCATCATCCAGCCTGTCGATAGTATAAAAATAATTCTGAAATATGACAACCGTAGTGTAATGTGGAATCCAAGTAGCAGTGAGATTTTGAGATTTCTTAAATTGTTCAAGTACCGGCTGTACTTTGTAGTGACAGTGAAAATGTAAGATTCATGTTGTAACCCACGAGATGTAAAACATTTCAATAGGAAACATTTAAAAACTGAAATGTATTGCAACAATTGACTCGATACCTAGCTGTAATTGATTGACCTATTTGAAAGCACCCGTCACTGGATCGTGGTATATCAGGAGGAAATCAAACATCTTTTGTTATTGGGGTTTTTTTCTATCACTGTGAATGGAAATTGAATTTTGATATTCGTATCAAATGTAATAGGGTTCATTGCACATGTACAGCCTTTTCGTCGATCCACTGCTGGATGAGAGCCTCGCCACACCATGTGATTTGTAGGTGGGTTAGTGAAGCTGAGGAATGTAGACTGAAGCATCGTCGAGTACAACAGATTATTTTGCATAGCCACTCAACCTGTTAATGCTTGGCGGTTGCCTATCCAGGCTCGATTATGCTTAGCTTCTGATCTCGGGCATGCCGGTTCATTGTACCACCAGTTTATTAGATCTTTACTCAAAATTTAGTGGCACTCATTATTTTATCACAGTTACGAAGCATCCCAGTTATAAAAGCAACTGTCATTTTCACAAGTGCACGATAGTATAAATAATTGTGTTCAAGTAAGCTCAGTACCGTCACAGTTACTCTTCCGTGTTTTACTTTGAAAGATAGCAGAACTGTCAAGCAATACGGTAATTGTGCTACGGTCATGCCTTGCAAATGACTCCAAGAGCATCGGTATGTTTCACCGAATCAAAATGTATTAACTTCACTTGCAATGAGGCATGCATTGGATGCATAATTATTGCAATTTTGGCATCTTAGCAGTTCAGGAGAAGGATAAAAGGCTGATCATCAGGGTCACAATTTGAGCATCATGTGCCTGGGATCCTATTATACTGATGTCATTTTCCCGCAGTCGGATTCGAGTGCCCGCATTGCCACTTTTCTAAATGCAGATATATACAAGAACCTCCTTGAGAAACGCAGTGGTATTAATCACAGTCGTGGGACTCCTCTCACTCTATAATTATATTCCGTAACATTATGGTATTTAACATGACATTGCTTTTCTAATGTGTATGTCAAGTTACGTTTGTGACTGCAGTATTGTCACGATTAAGGGCTTGTATGCTCTTGTATAAATAAAATACCAAGGGGTTACCGAGAGCAGGTGTGCACGTAAAGTTATTCTCAGATGCTCTCTTTTTGACAATTTAAATGCGCATTGCTTTTGATTACAGCACATTCAGCGAATGTTTAACACCCATTTACTGATGCATATGCATGTCGTTAGCTCCACTGTATATGCTGCTTAAAAAGTGTAATGGACAGATGCAATAACGATATTGTAATTGTATTTTCCCTCTGCAGTGCTGAATAGGTCATTCATTCATTTTTGCGTGAGCATTTAACTTACCAGCTTAAGATAATGTCATTTGACAACTTGCACATAAGAGCTGTGCTTCTAGTTATTCCACGTTATATTTAGCCACTTCATTAATGCAGTATTAAAATGAAAGGCTCAAAGACCAAAATAAATGTTGATGGATACTCTGTGTTAATCCTGTTAAGCAGAGGGCTGCTGGATTATCCAGCGCCGGCATTCGCTCTACGTTTGGAAGCTACGGAAAGTAGTGCTCTGTACGAAATGCTTGGAATTGTGTGTAAGCAACCCTGCTGCCTAGCATTGTGAGTTGCGTGACGCTCACAATACGTGCACAGCAATCTTGTATGCAGTCAGCTGATGCGTGACGTGCTCGCTGGGGAAATCTGCGAGGGGGTGGGTGGGTTAGCACTTGTGTAATGTGTCTCATCACAGTGCTATCTTGCTATTTGGGCAGCTTGGACATTGCGCTTATTACCACCGAGTGCAGAGGCGCTCCGCAGTAGTCGGCACATGCATTTTGGCAGCAGCATAAGGTCAGTGGCGGGGGCAGGCATTTGACTGTGCTTTTGTGGTATAGCAGTGCTGCATAATGTACAACATTATTTTCAGATTTTTAGATAATTTTTTGTTAAATGCATTGGAAGTTTGCGGCTACTTAGAATGCAATTATTGTCGATTCTTGATGTCTATTGACTAGCTTGAAGGTAATTGTATTGCGTTGATTTACATAGGATTTTTGTTTTTGAATACGTTCTTCCTCGTACATAATTGCTAATAATAGTCAGCCACTGCTAATGTTGTCATCCTGCTTTAGGTTTGTGCATCTCACTCGTCGGACACACTTGTACAAAGCCTGGATTTGAATGAATGCATGCCATGCGGCGTTCGGTAGAATTAAAAAGAAAGAAACCCGTCGGATTTTGTTTTCAACAGCAGTAGTTATTTTAAGATTAACTGCGTACGGGCCCGATCCTTCGCATCTTGCCTCGGCTGATGTTAATTTGCAAATTTCTAACCCATTCTGGGCCGTGTATCTTGTTATATTGGCAGAGCTAATACATTGGCACGGACGGAGCGCTGGTATTAGGATTTTGTCAATCTTCTCTGTTGGAAGGCGTATTCAGAAAAGCAAGTGATGCAAAACGCATTCGTATATGTTTTTTTTGTTTTAAACCTCACCCATTATGGTATTTGTGCTTTCACAGGACATAGACCATGGATAGCTTGAGAAAAAAGGTGTTTACCATGGACAGGGGTGTTGTGGAAGACTGGCTGTCCGAGTTTAAGGTACAGCTTTACAATGTTATATATTTAATTCTAGATTTGAAGCTTTCGTGACTGCAAGGATTCATATTCTTAGGTTTTTTCGGTAAAGTCACGTAGGTAAAACATTAAAATTAATAAAAGTAAAATAAATAAAATTCACGACGTTTCGGAGACAACACAAGCTTCCGTCTTCAGGTGGAGCTGTCGTGGCTGTGACGGTTCCACCTGAAGACGGAAGCTTGGGTTGCCTCCGAAACGTCGTGAATTTTATTTTATTTTACTTTTATTAATTTTAATGTTTTACCTACGTGACTTTACCGAAAAAAACTAAGAATATGTTATATATTTAAATTCACTGTCCAGACATGTTTTCAGCATTGTTCTATATGCTTGGTGGAGCAATGGAGCGGTTGTGGTCGGTGCTGTGCACGATAAACACGGCGACCTGAATTCTGTATCCGGCCATTGTCAACAGCATCGGCGAGTGATATCTGAACCACTTCTTGACCTCCCCTTCACCAACCCCCGCTGACCAGCGTGGTGAAGTCGAGTCAAACAACTCCCCAGCCGTGGGAAAGGCCTTCATCCAGTAGCCTTCTTCCTAGCGTTGTTCCCGCTGTGGCGCAGGGTCCGCTTTTCGGCATTGTCTTCTCCATTTGGCTCGGTCCAGGGCATCTTCAGGGGATGCGTTGACCTTCATCCAGTAGCAAAATGACAAAAGGGCTGTAAATATTTGAACATTTTTTGTGTACTTTCCTAGATGCTTTATAATAGCATTTTGATCATTTACCATATGTTTGCTAACATGAGCTTGAAGGATCGTTTCCATTTATGTCACTGCTGCTGATATCATTGTCTTTATGATTAATATAATTTGCTTTCTCACATTAAGTAGACGTTTTGTCTTCATGGGTGTCTTTATTGGTTTTGCGGGGGGTAAATTACCATGTGCTACGTGGCAGACTGCAACGCTGCTGTAACTTTCATCAAACTTAATTATGATAACATAAGTGGATATTTTCCATCCATTCCTCATTTTCAGGCCCTGCCCGAGGCCTCCATCGGCAGCTATGCGGACAAGCTGCAACAGAAGATGACGCTCATCTCGGCACTCTACAAAGTGTTACGAGAGGCGCACAGTGAGGTTAGCTTGTGGATGGCACACGAGGCTTGCAATTCAGAGGTCGCGCCGGGTTCGATCTTCCGATGTGGGACTTGAAACAATGGGAGTTTCTTAAACCGTCCCACCCCCCACCTCTTGTTCAGGTTGTGTGTGGTGCAGTAAAGTGTGGGTATTCTCACCTGATACACCATCATCACTCGTGGGGCAAACACTGCACACGTACACAAACCCCCCTCCCCTGACATCACAAAAGAATATATATAGATGGTTATCTATCGGCTTATCTCATGCTAATATGGTAGACAACCGTGCACACTGCTTGGTGCTTGCCACAGACCCCCCCCCCACCCCTTGACTCCCCCCCTCACACCCTACATAAACACGTTGTCTCCTAATAACTCTCTTCAGACGCCTCAGTAATTTTTGCTGGAGCAATCAACACCTGATGACGGCTGCTTGTGTTGCTTCCGAAACGTCGTGATTTAATTTTATTTTTTTCAATTTAATTTATTTTATATTTTTTTACCTACGTGACTTAACCGAAAAAAACTAGTCGTATTCTCACCTCTTCCAAGATGCCTGGCCAATGTAGAAAGATAAGTTTTTTTAGAGCTCCCTCTAATGAGCTGCCTGTCATGGAAGGCCTTCCACCAACAGTTGAGTGAGCAAGACATTTCAGGGCTGCAACCTTTACCGCATCAACAACGTCCAAGAGTAACGTGCACCATGGACACTGAATCAGGATCAGGATCGTTCAGAATCGGAATCTTCATTGAGACTGGAGGAATCCGATGAGCTATGAAGCTCTTTTTCACAGATGTCCAGTAGGGAAAGGTCCTAAAGTTGCAACAACAGTACAAAAACCGATAGGAATGACATCAGCTCACATGCAGGTGCTGGTTGGATTGTCACATCGCACGACCCTGAGAGATGGCGACGGCTTGGGGAGGTCTTCGTCCGGTAGTGATGGCGATTAAGCATTTAAAAAAAAAGTCCTTGTTCTTGCTCAGGGTAAAACACGTTGTCTTCTTGAGTAATTTTAAGGTCTTAGCTCAGTTTTGATGATTGTTTAAAATAAATGGCATAAAGGCTATTGGCTCATATTTTATAGATATACAGCTTGGCCTTTGCTGTTGGTTACAAGTTTGAACATTTTATATATATGTGTAAAAAATACTTGAAAGATTCAGTCAACCACACCACCATAATGCTCGATTGATGCCACTGTTTTGATCTATTAAAATGCATGAGAGTGACGTTAGAGTGATGTCACTCGAGTGCTATAATGGCATGGTTGAGTAACTTCAGTCTTAATTCAGCATTAACAAATATTCAAACTTGTCGTACAGCCCAGGATTTTTACAGCCTAGGTGAGTATCTACAAGATGATGGTTATTTTGCTCCCTTTGACATGATCCAGGCCAGCTTTAATTATACACAGTGTAACAAAAAAAATTGTTCCTGGGTAGTAAGTGTTATTTCCTAATTGCTAATGCCTCAAAAGTACAGAAAATAGCTATTATTCCCCACAAACTTTGCTTTTGTAACCAGGACTGATATTTTGAAATTTACCTATTTTCAATGAGAAAAGTGTGCATTTGTATGCACTATACTTTTTAGGCATAAGCACTTAAAAAATAACACTTACTACCCAGGGATAAAAATCGTGTTACATAGTGTTATGTGCCAAGTAAATCACTCACCACTCCATACGGTTGGTTTCTGGAAACCGAGCCCGATTGAAGGGATGTCGAAGAATGTCCTGTGGGTATCTCTCCCAGGAACGTCGCCAGTTGTCGCGTGAAACAATTCTGTCTCACAAGGGTTTCAATCGGTTTAAGAGCCTGGCTCTTCTGCTTGAACACGTTTTCACTTCGTCACCATATTGTACAGGTTCTCAAGGCATTGGTAATGGTATTAATGGTAATGTTTATTCCGCGTGAACTTAATCCTTTTAAACATACACTGTACAATGCGGATATACTGTGAGATAAAAATTCTACAAAATTCACTAAATATGAAATAAAGAAAAACTACGGCTCGTCATGGTTTTTTTGCTTCTTTGAAATTAGGTACCCGATAGCAACCACCACATTATAGTGCTTTTCTACCATTCCAAGTGGCATCTTTAACAAAACGCTATTATAACATGTAAAACAAAACCGTTGTATTTATTACACAATTATGTATGCAGACGTGAGCTCCTGGGTTTATTTTTAACGAGATTCTCTCCGTGTGCTTAATGGCGTGCCCTTTGGAAACAGCTGCTGGAGCCCGTGTGTCACCAGCTGCTTGAGTTCACCCGTAGCGGGGAGCCGCAGCTCCGTCTCTTCACGCTGCAGTTCCTGCCCGTGCTTGTCGACCGCTACCTGACGGGCCTGGCTGCCGCACAGGGGCCGCGCCCTCGCAGCGACGGCTGCGCGGAGGCCCTTCTCCTGGGCCTCTATAATCTGGTAAACACTTACAGCGGCGTACGTTTTGTTGTTGGGGGTGGGTGGGGGGGGGTGTATTTGACTGCAACAAAATATGCGCACGTTGTTTAGTTTGTTGTGGGGGAGCGGTGGTGTAGCGGTTAGCACGCTGCGTTATGAACCCGGCGACCCGGGTTCGATTCCCGCTCACGGCCGACACCAGTGATGATTATATGAACTGGTTCTAGGCCTCCTCTAAGTCGACTCTGTCTGGGGCGACAAAGGCGGTCGGGCATCGTGCTGGCCACCCACCTCCTCGTGTACCGTTCCAGCCTTCATAAGTGCTCGCTAACAGCACTTGCCCCTATAGTCTGTTAAATCAATATGGGGGGGGGGGGGGGGTCTTTGTCCCGCCCGCTCCTCTGATTAGCACGGTTGGCTACGTATGGTGCGAAAGAAGTTCAACATACGTTTACATACAAATTAATGCACGCGTTAGGCAGCGACTAAAATAACTCCTATAGAATGATCTGAGCTGCTTCAGAGTGGTTTGAGACAACTTGAGTGTATGCTAATATTTTGGACCTTGTTTTTTTTGTCCACGTATAGATCACTACATATACAGGGTGTTTAAAAAAGATGTACCCGATTTGAAATCGCTATATCTCTGCAACCACGAACCGCCCATGAATGAAACTCTTACCACTTGAAAGGGTGGGGTATAGAGAGGAGGGCGGGGCATAGAGAGGAGGGCGCGGCATAGAGAGGGCGGGGCATAGAGTTTCAAATGATTACCGCTAGATGCATCTCCCAGCGCACAAGCAGCCCCTAGCCTCAGTCATTCGCAAGATGGTGACCCCGCAACACAAGGGGCGTTTTGCGTTCTGCAGTTCAGCAAGACTGAATCCGTAATTGCGTTGCAGCGTGCGTTTCAACGGCGTTTTGGCATTGATCCGCCAATGTCAAAGAGAATTCGTCGTTGGTACCGACAATTTGAGGAAACAGGCTGTTGATGTAAGGGGAAGAGCACAGGGCGACCACGCACCTCGGAGGAAAACGTGAGAAGAGAGGCGTTTGGGACGAATTCAACTATCTTCTCGATGTTGTCCGTACAGCTGGTGGATGGCACATAGAGCATTTATAAAATGGTTAGTAAAACTTGATAACTCATTAAACCGTTTGTAACGTTTTGTGTAATTGTAACATGTTGCCATCGTGAAATATACTGCTTTGAAATTGGGTCGATCCTTTTGAAACACCCTGTATATACATGCACTGATGGGTGCAGTGCTGAGTAGGAACGCACATGAAGACCAGAACAGTGCACGGGGGTGGGGGGCTGGTCGGCACCACCACACCCGGCTGCATTTTTGTCGTCTCTGTGCAGATGTTTACGCAACGCACCAGTTACTCGTTTAAGGCTGAGTGGACCTCGGGGAGGACCAGGAACGCTTCTGTTATCACTCGCCACTGATGAATAACCGTGGCTGAGAATTTAACTCGGGCGGAGTTCAGAGTGCTCACCAATGTTGTTTAGTGGTTTATTGTCGAAGACAAATTGTAGAAGAATTGACGAGCTACTTGGATGAAACTATTGTGAATAAAACTGTGCCTAATTTTTTACTGAATGCATATTTTTGTTAGCATTCATATAGACATTTTGCAAATGCTACGTGCACGTAACTTGTGTTAAGCCCAGCATTGTGTTTGTGTTATCCTAGAATTCTTTCCAAGAATTGGCTGTTTCTGTTATTGCACAGTTTACAGCAATGGCATGGCTAAAATTGCTCCTCTTTTATGGTAACACGTTTAATGTCTCTCCCTCAGCAGGTGATGTTTTCTTACTGGCTGTGTAGTATATCTGATGGAAATGCTACGGTTTGCTCCCCGCTGGACTGTTGGCTAGAGAACATCCCAACAGACTTGGATAATGATTTGCCTTAGTGAGATCGCTTCCTTTGGAAGAATACATTTTTAATGAAAATAGCTCAAATGTTGCTTGGTTTTCTAGGCAGCTGTTAAAATGCATAAATATTTTAAGTATTTATGCATGATGTGTTTACGGCAAGGAACATTTCCGACTGTAATAGTATTATAATTTTTTTTGTGAATGTCATGATATAAAAGTAGTTTTTTTGGTTTCAGAATGGTGTTGTCAAATCGAAAAGAAAATTTTATTTCAAAGTTTCACACACATTTAAAATACGTGCCTTCAGTGCAACGAGTCTTGTTTTTCCTAACAGTATTTGAATGCATATTTGTTCATTGATTAGTCTAAAAATTGTTTGGCACACACGGCTGGGTTAAAAATGGAATAAGTTTTAAGTTCAAGTCTAATAATTCACTTGACCGACATACCAACTGTGTACAGCTTTATAAGGTCACTGCCTGGGAATACTGAACCAGCACTTTTATCTTCCATCTATGCTACCAGTCTGGGCATTTAAATCATGAATGTAGCAAGCTTCTTATGGTACAATCCCTATTCATGGTATCCAGCTGTGCTGTAAGATTACTATGAAGAGGAAGCTTCTGGCATGAGATGTGAGGCTGTAGAATCATTCGGATGATCGAAAATCACAAGCAACCTAATCATTATAGGGTTTTCCCCTTTTTTCTGACAATAAAATTGAAACCTTTTTTTACGAGGATTCATGTCTGCATTAACCACAATACCTGCAGTCAAATGCTAACAAGAAACACACTATGATAATATATGCATTGTCCTTGAAACTGATTGGTCCACACCAAGGGACAGCTTTCTTTTGAGCCCTCGACCCAGTTGGTGCTCGACCAGAGGACGCCAAAAGGCGTACAGCTCATTTGACTGCAGGTATTGTGGTTAATGCAGACATGAATCCTCGTAAAAAGGTTTCAGTTTTGTTGCCAGAAAAAAGGGGAAACCCCTATTATTATATTTTAGTACTGGCAAAGGAGGTCCAATGAAGCAACCTACTATTCATGAAGACGCATCAAATGAAACATTGGCTACCTTCCATTCACATTCGGTAGTACAGTTATCTTGTATTTAGAACATATCTCGTCATGCTTGTTAATGCTGCCAGGCTTCTGAACTATTTGTAGAACTTCAGTGAGTAATTAGGAGTCTATGGTTTTTGAGATATTGAAATTAAAGTCATTAGCTCTGTATTATTAAACAAGTAACGTGCACAAAAACATGTTAAATTTTTTTAAACTAAAAATAGCAAATGCAACAAGTGATAAAGCATACAGTAAAAGCAACAAAAGAATTGCTTAAATTAAACCCATTAAGCTTTCTTTGCAAAGTAACGTACAACATCCATACACATTTATACATTTCGATATTTTATTACAAGTGTGGTGATTTCTTGATATAGCTGTTGATTCACTGTCTCTAATAAACAAAAACATACTTTCTTGATTTGAAGCTTTCGTGACTGCAGGAATTCATACTCTTTGGTTCTTTCGGTAAAGTCACGTAGATAGAAAAATTATTAATGTATCACGACGTTTCGATAGCAACACAAGCCATCGTCTTCAGGTGAAACAATACAGCTGGCGGACTGCTGAGGCAGGAGGTTATATCTGTTTGTGGTGGGTACAACCCGAGGGTAAGTGAGCAGGGCTAGGGATGGAATTGGCAAATAAATGTAAGATCGCAGAGCTCGCATACCTCGGCTAACCTGGATGGATCGATGGATAGATGCATGCTGGGAATTGAACTGGGGCACCGCAGTGGGGAGATGTTAACTCCCTCGCCTGGTATGCAAGAGGTCGTGGGATTGATCTCAATCCTGACGCATGTTCTCTCCCCGTGGTCGCGTGGATTTTTTTCCGGGTCTTCTGGTTTTTCAATCCACAAATAGAAACATCCGCTTGCTACAAATTTCCACATGATTAAGCCACTTCGTTGAGCTATCATTTGTGGCCAGGTCGCTTCTGAAAAAGAGCTGTATAGGTCAGTGGACCTTAGCTGGTGAAATAAAAAAATAGTTAATTTTTTATTTTAGACAGAAAGAAGAGCACACAAATCATGTAAAAATGCAAATTATAGATGCCTTGTTGACTTTAGAAACGTGAGCGGACTTGAGCAGGTCACATTGCTAAAGGCGATCGATGGCCAATGGGTGAGACGGGTTATGGAATGGCAGCCAAAGTTTGGATTACACCCAAGAGGGTTGACCGCTGCGGAAATCAGAGGGATGAGATCAACTGATGGGCAGGAGCGAAGTGATGTGGCATCATAGGACCATGGAGGATAGCGACGATGTGGGAGGGGATGCCTTCTCTCCAGCAGTGGATGGATAATGGCCGATGACGATGAATGCCCCTGTATTGTGTACGCAGTATGTTGAGACGTAATGCGCATGTTGTTTGCAGGAGATCGTTGAAAAGGATGCAACCAGTAAGGTCTTGGCATTTACAATCCCATCACTGTCTAAATCTTCCATCTATCATGAGGTGAGGACATTATTTTTGCAAATTGAAGAACTTAACTTGAGCGATGTTTTCTAAATTAAATAAGGAGATACAGGTTCTTTAAATATTATTTTTTGAATTGCGTACTGAAAGCAATTTAACACCAAGAAAGGTGTGCCTTACTAATTGGGTTTAACATTTACTAAAATATGAAAGCAAATTAGTTTTTTTCTGAATATCCCTTTGGGAAAATCAAATACACTCCTTAAGCATCTGCCGCCGTATGCATGCACGTGTTTGATTTATTGGCACTTATTCCACGTGTATATACCTGACACTGCTCTCGATATTTCTCCTCTATGTCTGTTCTTAATGCATTGTTAATGGCTCCCATCCTTTATTTGTAATGTTTCCTTGTTTGTTTCACCATAAACACACACGCGCACATATTTTGGGCCCAGGTCTACGACAAGTCCAACTACACGCTGCTCAATCAGTTCCATCCATGTCGTGAATGCTTTTCTTGCATATGCAGATTTTTCCCTTTCAAGTTAACACTGTGATGGTCGTGTTCTAAGCCAGCGGACTGTGTATTATCTCTTCAGAATGAAAGCGATTGAGCGGTGCTTTTCAGCATTTGTCTTTGAAATCGGACACGATATTTTTTATTTGTAAAAATGGTAATGGGTAGCATGATTCCATAAAAAAATTTGCCACAAAACGAAACTGATTCATTTTACTGCAAGCTTTTTTAAATCACCTATCTGTATTTAATTTCCAACACTAATACTGTACTCTCAAGTATCATGTATTCCTTAAATTGTTTTAATGTAAAGTGCATTTATGGAGTGACCAGCTTGGCTCATTGCTCACATTTCTTGTTACGTTGAAAAGGCAAAGCATGTTGTGAAATTACATGGGGTGCTTTGATATATTTATAAAAAAAAAAACATTAACAAAGACTGCTGCTTCCAGCAAGATCACAACAAAAGGCCCTCTCAGTGAATTATGCATCTCACTTCCATTGGCTTGTGTGGTAATTGAAAGAATATAGCTCTGCAGCTGAGATGTGTTTTTTTCTGAAATGGCAAAATGCTGGATGTGATGAGTGGAGGCTCTGCCATTAGGCAAGTGGTATTGCACTAATGCATACGATTGTTTATAGGGTATGACCTATGGCAGTGATTGTGTGGGATGTGACTTTGTAATAGCTGGCAGCGGTCATGTGACATTAAATGAAATATAGCCTTCGCTTACAAAAATAATAACACTTTTGCCATTTCTTAAATGTGGGGAATATTTTGTAGTTGCCATCTAGCCAAGGATTAGATAACACGTTTTAGCATACATATGAACACATTTAAAAATGTTTATTCTCACCTTGGTGCAATATTCCCCAAATAATCTCCAATTTAAAACATGCATGCTGTGTTGATAATGAATTCCAAATTCATGTTATAAATACTGTACTTAATTTAATGACTGTACTTTAAGGTTGCGATTGTTTAGTCACTCACTTAAGCTGTTTTACATTCTCACCTCCGCTCCATGCTTGAATTCTTATGTTCAGATGTTCCTTTTAATGTCTGAACAAAAAGGGTCATCACGGGACATGAGTCGTTAGCCTTTCGTTGTGCACAAGCAATATTGTGCATCTGCTGAGTGCCTGACGTTACAATGCCTCCGTCAATCTGCCAGCCGGTCTGGCACTGTTGTTTAAGAATGATCCATTTTAGGAAATACTCTTGCAGCTCATGCTCAAATTTGCAATTGCCACTTGCCCACAACTTAAAAGAAAAACCTGCAACTAAACAAATAAAATGCTATGATGTTGACTCGTTAACGCAAGTCTTTAACCAAAATGATCTGATGGCTGTATAATGTTGTTGTTAATCTAGGAAACAAAGTGGGAAATTCAACGAAGCGTTGAACAAATACACAGTTTGTTGGTTGTAACTCGTGGTTTTGATTGTGTCGGTGTGCATGACCGTGTGCCCAGCCGGGCAGCATGGGCTCCGTGGCCATTATGGAGGCCACGTTGTCTGGGCGAGATGTAGTGAGAGTGGCCTATGCAGGACCCCTGCCACACAGAGATGCCTTTTCTGCGCAGAACAGGTACGCGTGCATGCGCGCAAGGTGTGACGCACTACATGTACAGCCAGTCAATTTGCTGCTGGATGAGGGCCTCCTCTTGAAGCACAGGCAGTGAGATTTATTTGATCATACTTCACCCGCTCTTCAGTATGGGTTGGTGAAGGTTGGGGGACGAACTACAGAACGATAGACTTTGCTGCACACTGCCTTGTGCCCACAGTGCCTCGAACACCTCTTTTGTATGCGAGGCGATCACCCATCCAAACACTATCGAGGCGAAATTCTGCTTAGCTTACGAGATCGGACGGGATCGGGCTCATTCTGGGCAATTTGGTCAGAGGCTGATGCACACAGTACATTGCAGTGCATCTTGGGAAGTGTGTGGTGGTTTTGTTGTCCATTGACTTTGGGTTTTTCCATCAACAGGTTTGAGGTGCTGACCTTCCTGCTCGTGTGTTATAACAGCGTCGTGGTCCAAATGCCCTCGTCCTCCTACCAGGCGCTGTGCTCAATGTGCTCGCAGTGAGTGTCTCTCGCTTCGCTTTATTCAAACGCAGATTTTCTTTTCACCCCCCCTCCCCTCCCGAAGCACCGCGGTTGCATTTGATGTCATTGTGGAGTGGTCTCCAGTGTTATCCGTCTCATGAGATGCCACTCTTCCCAGAGTGTGTATCAGCGGATTTCCTCGGCAAAAGCAGATCTGGAAGGAGCGACGCGCACGCATAGCCCTCTCCCCAGAGTTTATGGTGCAGCTGCTGACTGGCATCTACTACACCATGTAGGGATGCACACTTCATCACTCCGTACTTCATGTTATGCTGTCAGTTTAGCGACGTACACTTTTGCGTTTGACTCATTACATGACTGTACTACTGCGCCCCAAACGTCTTTGCGCGTGTGTGCGTGTGTTCTTTTATGCAGATATAACGGTGGTTGGGATCTGGGCATTGAAGCACTGGACAATGTGATATACCGAGCTCAGCTGGAGTTTTATCCAGAACCCCTGCTGGTTAGCGTTTGCACAAACCCTTGTGATTTTTTTTTAAATCTCTATATCCAATTTATCACCGATTTAAAACAATTTACTGCTTAAAAAAATAAATCCCAATGGTATTTCCATTGCACTGTCAGTATTATGAGACAAAGGACCCATTCGTATGGTCACACTGCAGTTCAGTGCCACCCTCCGATGCTAGAGAATGGCCCACACACGTGGGGTACCGCAGAACTTGTGAAGATCTCTTCAGGGGACCTCTTTTCCATATAGTATTGGGCAGCACTTTCCATCACTTCACAGTCAAATCCCGATAATTATTATAACAGTTGAATATTTGCCAACTGAGGCCAGGCTGGGACCATCTACTCACTGCCACTTGGAAACGAGTAATCACAGGCAGCTGGCTGGATTCAATCCCAGGATCTCGGCGGTGCCGGCTCAATGCTCTGACCTTTGACCCACCTGGCCACATCTCGCTCATGATGCTTTAATTCCCTTCACCTTCTTCTTGGTTCTTTCGGTAAAGTCACGTAGAATGGCAATAATAAAATAATACAAATAAAACATAATAAAATAATTCTCACGACGTTTCGGGTGGAGAACAGGTCTACGTGACTTTACCGAAAGAACCAAGAAGATGAATCCCTGCAGTCACGAAAGCTTTAAATCCCTTCACCTTGTGTCGCGCAGGTGGGTAATGCCATGAAAAACTCGCTGCGCTGGGATGCTCCTGACTCGATGGACTCGAAGCAGCAGGTGATCCAGGTGGAAGTGACGCCCACTCTCCGCAGGCTTTCCAGAAACGCCGTCACCAGCGCATCCATACGGCGACACCGCTGGCGGAAAGATGGTCCGAGACACATGCGCGCACGCAAACATGCAACACACAGAATATTGGATACTGATAATCCTTTATGAATGGATGCAAAGGCACTGCACTATTTGCTAGAGAATTACTGTGTAAAATTACTTGAAAGTCCCATCTCATCTGAGGATGCAGTCTGATGTGTTGACATTTAGTATGCTAATTTGGAATATGCCTAGATGTGGCTGCTTTCATTCAGTTGTTGATGCCAATGTCTCTTCGATTGCTTTCAGTGCTGGAGGGAAAGCCTGTGGAGGAGACCCTCGAGATTTCCGAGCCTGATGAAGGATTTTCTTCGGGAACATCCAGTGCCAGCCATTCCGCCGCCAATGCTACCAAGTTACCTGGCCCATCATTTTACCAAAAGGGCATGATTCGGAGAGGCGTTTGTCTCATAGGCAACTGTAGTAAGGAGCCAGCAGGGGAAACCCAGTCGGACTTCGGGAAGCCGTTACCTGTGCATCCTTCATCTGAGCCTGGAAAACCATCTTCATTGCGAGCCGTTCTTGAATCTGGTAACCAGCCGCCCCAGAAGCAGGGCATGGCTGACAGCTACAAGTCACCTACTGGACAACGGACAGCCAGTGAGTCCGGCAGGGCCTTTTCCCTGCATACAAGCAGCAAACCATCCCCGCCTCCCCGCTCCGTGACAGAACCCGGAGGCAGACACTCAGTAGAAATGTCAACACCGGCAGCTCTGCTCAAGGCAGGTGGAAAGGAAGTATCCTGGCGTGCCCTTAATCCGAGCAGCAGCCAGTCCTTGCTGCCACACAAGGATGAGGATCCGGGTCTGGCTGGCACATCGACCGCCGCCCTGAGTCGCTCGTTCGAGTACGTCGGGGCATCCGGAGGAGCGATCTCCGAGCCCATTGCCACGGTTTGTGGCGGGAGCGCGGCAGGCAGGAAGCGGGGGAGCCGGCATTCGACGAGCAGCCTGCAAGAGGAGCGCCTGGCCTCGCAATGCACCGACGCGGAGTTCCTGTCTCCTAGCCGGCAGCATGGGCAGCAGCAGCAGCAGCCGCGTTCTCCCAGCTATGGTGTCCAGCTGGTCACGGAGGTCTAAGCAAATTAGTATGGCTCATGGCAGTTGTGCAGCAAACAGCCGATGCGCTTTGCAGTACAAGTGTACGCGAGGATTGTGTAGGATAATTACACAAAATGTCCTTTAACTCTTAGCGTGTTTTGGGAAATTCGATTTTTTTTCAGTGTTAACGAGTTATTGTCTGAAAAATGCAGTTTATGCCTTTAAATCGGAAGAGAGGAAATGCCAGGAACATTACTTTACTAACGATTTTGTGGTCATTTTAAAAGAAGTATGCAACCCCAAAAACAAATAGCTCTTAGTCTGCAGATACACACGGAGGCTTTGTGCCCTTGGCTGTCCATAAACAGTCGGAAGCTTTGTTCATTAGAATAAAGAATGTCAAGTGACTGGAGATTTCTAGTGACATCATTGCAGTGACCATTAAAGAGGACAATTCATGCTCCAGTGATGTCACCTTGAGTGTGTCTGAAAATTACTTTACAAATCTAGAACAAATCTAGAATTTCCTTACAGTGTTTTTTTTCTCATGAACAGTGTTAGGCAGCCTGTGACACACAGCTTAGGTATCTGCAAGAGTTGTTTGTCTTTTGAATCGCTTATTTATATAAAACATAGAACATTGTTTGTAAGTAGATGGTAAATTATCTCAACCATCTCGACTGTTTTGTATACATGTATACAATGCAATTTGGATTTATTGCAGTGTCTAAATACAACCAAATGTCAAGATACTGTACAGAACAGTTCGCATATATTTGATAGAAAAAAGATAGTGACAAGTAGAGAAAAAGAGGGGGGGGGAAGGTTTTCAACATGGAATTGAACACGTGCAGGAACTATTCTCTTGTGTATAGCAATATGTTGAGCTAAATGCAAATGTTGAGGTCTTCTAGCTACGACGAGAGGGCCATTGAGAGAGTTAGTATAGTTTTGCTATTTTACTGTGGTCCATAGTTTGGGTTGCATGGCCACACTGGCTTACCTTTAATTTTCCATTCATGAAGGAGATGTGTGCATCGGCCTGTAGATGTTCTAATGCAGGTTGATGGTACACCAGTGTCTTCGAGGAATGTCAAAGCCAGGAGGTGCGATGTTTGCGTCTTGAGTGAGGTGTTTATTCTGGACGTCCACGTTGTTCCATTCTGTTCACCAGTGTTCCTTGGGATATAGCTGAAATTCTATGATGGTGATGGTGAACCTATAAGGGTAAACGCGACTTGAGTCTGCAGCAAGGTACATTGTTGAGGTCTTGATTGATGAGTAGGTGGGGCGAGGGCTTGCCAGCACAGATGGCTAGGGGTGGAAATAGTTCCAGAAGAGGAAAATTAGCAAATGTTGACTGGGGGCTTCGACAAAAGGCCTCAGTTGCTGGAGTGGAGAGTGCATGGACGAAGTGAAGCGAGACGGGAAAGTAGAGGTAGGTAGGGGTCAATTCCGTGGAGTATCTTGAAGACGTTGAGTGCGATATTGGTATTGATACGGAATTGAATTGGGAGCCAGTTGAGGGATTTCAACACTGGGGTGATGTGTTCTTGTGGGTGAGAAGTCTGTCCGTGGAATTTTTGCATCGTCTGGAGTTTCGAGATGAGGCATTTGGGGAGGCCGTAGAGTTGCAGTCGTTGAGTTGGTATGCGATGAAGCCATGGATGAGGGTCTCGTAAAATAAGGAAGTGGCAGATGTGGGACGTGATGCGCAAATGGAGATATGAGGTCCTCCAGAGTTGCGATTTATCGGTAAGGGATGACAGATTTTTCACGCTCTTTGCCGGTAAAATGTAGCCGTTGCTGGGTGTAAACTTTTCGTGGATGAGCAAGGCAATACTTCCGTTTGGTGACATTTAGGTGGAGGAAGTTGATAGCAATCCAAAATGAGACCGCATAAAGGCAGGATGTGGGAAAAAGGCCTTTGAGGTTGGGCCCATGGAGTCAATGGTGATAGTCACGTCATTGACGTAGAAATGGTTGACATTAAAACCGGAGTTTATTTTGCCCAGCAGGAAGAGAGATTGACGTGTACACATGCACGGAACCATAGCTGATGAGATTTTCCTTTGTCTCAAATGTGTAATTTAATTTTCCGACGTATTTATTGTTAGTTTATCGTACAATGATCACTACGAAATACCAATACTAGTGGTACTTGTCCTCACTCTTTTGTAGTCAATTAATTTCTGTAATATGACTTATGAGTATTCTAAATCTGAAGAATTGTTTCTTTATTTTCAAAGAAAGTTTAGTTATACTGCATTTGTTTCTGGACCCAACGCTCTTAAGTAACGTGTCACGTAGCACGAACTAAAATGTACATTACTATTTTGGTCATGTACATTGACTTTGGTGTGGGGTTTTTTGTATATATGTAGTTTCAAAATATATATCTCGCGAATGGGACTTGCTGGTGACTCGCTGAAATGTATGCAGCGTCGCGTAAGAATTGCAAAAGCTGTGATGGGGGGTGGGGGGGGGCATGTGCACAAGTTGTGAAAGTTCCGGCAGCTTTGTGTGCGTCGTTTGTTAGTGCGTGTTGCGGCGCGTGGTGTTTTTTTTATTTTCACAGGCATACCTGTGTGATACGGTGCATACCAATCATCCGTAGGCGTAAGCTGATGTAAGAGTCGGCCTTTTGCTCTGGACTTCCGTTTCAACGTGTGTTATTTCACAAGGACGTATCTGATAATTATATTCCCCATATTTATATTTGAGAATTAGAATGAATGTCGTGCAGTGTCATGGTTTCTTTTCAAAACGTATAAATTTATATTGAAAGTTTGCCACTAATCGTTTTTGACATTCCATCTCATTCCAGTGCAACATTACACATTCCGTTTAGTCCATGCAATATAGTTATTTACGTATTGTAATGCATATTTATTTCCCTGTATTCATTTATTTTTCATTACTCTGTATCCTAAGACCGATTGTTACTTGATGTTTCTTTTGTATTTGATGTATTTTTACACTGGTGATGTCGACACCCCAGTTGTAAGACATGTCACTGCCGTAGCCTGTATAATCGCACCTCCGATTAGCACGGTTGGCTGTGTGCGGTGTGAAAGTTATTCTGCATACATGTATTGACCTTGACAAAAACTAAATAAAACAAAAACATACATTGTACAAACTGACGTGGTACTCTTACGGCAGTTGGCTTACATGTTCAGGAGGTGGCGTCAGTGTAACATCGTCGCCCGACAATTAATGCTTAGAAATGGCTGCATTGACAAAATGACTGCATGACGGACATTCAATGATTGATTCTGTCTACTCTGCTGCACCTTGCCCATCTCTCCACCATGATTAGATTCAAGAAGAGATTTTGTCGCATTTGTACGGTCTCATTTGTATTGTCTGTTGCATACGTTTTGTCGACACTGTCTATTTTGTTTCCATTAATTAGAATGTCAAATTTGAATCTAATTTTGGGTTAATTTTAAGTTATTCTTAAGCATGCAATAAGGGCGCATGTTATCACGAGCATAAGAATAGATTTAATTGATGAACAAGAAGCTGCTTTGTTCTATTTTACATCCCTTCGTCCATCCACTACTGGATGAAGACCTCCCCTCGCCCTACAGATCATACATTCTCATGCTAGTATGTGTGGTTTGAAGGTATGTGGAACACATAGACATGGGGGCACAAGCAGTGTTGTACAACAATATATTTTGCTGCACTGCCGATATGCTGCCCACTGCATAGCCCCCCCATTGTAGTAGGGGGGACAGGAAGGGCTGTGCAGCGGTGCTTACTTTATATGGCTGCAAGACAAATCGGTTTCACATGCTGGAACTCGTACAGCCCTTATGGGAGCTGCTGCCCCGTAATGGTTAGCACACTGGACTTGCAATCCAGAGGTCACCGGGTCAATTTCAGCTTCCGGCATGGCAGTTGAAATTATGGGCAAGTTTCTCAACCCCCCCCCCCCCCACCGCAATTTTGTTCACCCAGCGGCATGAATGGGTAAACCACAGTAGAGCGGTAGGTTGCGTGTGGTGGGGTGAAGTGTTGGTACGCCCACCTCTTCCAACACATCTGGTGAATGTGGAAGAGTAGACCAAACACCCACGAGTATACGGCAGTGGCGTGCGCAAGCAATTGCAGTGCAGCACCTTTGCCATATTTTAATACAACCTTTGACTCTTTTTTTAATTACTTGCAAGGACAAATTTAAAAGTTTAAGGTTTACATTCGAATGGAAAATAATTGCCAATATGGAGAGATTGACTCTGGTGAGATATATGGAATGAAATAACTGAGAATCAATTCAAACATTGTTTTAAACCAAACCATTCTGACATCTTCACCCTGCTGCTACTTGCAAAGAAAAATCCAATGTGGATTTTTAATTTGCTTTTTTGGTACCTTGACTCATTGACAGGGGTGGAGCATTGGCCCAGTGCTTAGCACACTTTGCTGTAATATCCCAAATGTGGTTATGTATGTTGACCTTATTTCTCACCGTACGTAGCCAACCGTGCTAATCGGAGGTGCAGGGGAAGGACAACACTATAAACACAACGCAGTTCGAACGAAGTGAGTCTTCATTTAGATTTAAAAGTGCATAGCTCTAGTGGCTTCCTAATATCGGAAGAAAGAACATTTCAGACGGCCGCATAAACGCATCTGAAAGCGCACTATGCAGTTTGACGGCCAGCCAAAAGCTGCTGTAATAGTGACGTGGCAGTGTTTGCCATGTTTATTATTTCAGAGGGTCTCTTAAAAGTGACATTTTCGTGAATAGTGCGTAAAAATCATTCACGCAGCACTATTAAAGCGCTTGTTTTGAACTTGGCCCGACAGCTGTGTTCTTGCTAAACTGTCAGCTCTGTGATCGGTTGTTGGCAAGCGAGTTATGATTTGTTGAGGAGCTCAGTGCTGCACTGTCGCGGGAACAGCGGCGAAGAGGGGGGACACTGAGACTTGAGAAACAGGGCCTCGTGGATCTGGCCACAGCAATCATGTTTTTTTGTTTGTTACGGTTGCACCCGATTCAAGAGCCGAATGGCTCACAGGGCTATACCTAATGAACTTGAACTTGAACCATCCTTGGTTGCTGCGACAGGACGCTCGCTACGTTTATACCGAGAGAGACGACGAACCAGGGGGAACCCAGATGAATCGTAAATCTCCATCTTACAAGTGGCAATGCAACTGGGAGTTTGCTATTATGCGCTTGAACTCCCAGCTGTGCTTTGTGATTAGTTTTAGTCGAGTTTTTATTTATGCTTTGGTTATTTTCCACAAGGGCGTGTTCATTGCGCAAAAGGGTCTGTTTCACATTGCCACTGTGACGCAGATTTTCGGCGGAGCGGTTCGCGTTGAAGCACAACACTTTGCAAGTACAAAACGACACGTCTCGTCACAAAACTCTGAAAATAACGTGAGAATTGCAACAAACCCATGAGTCCTTCAATGTGCAAATAAGTACGCTGCTAAGCTACGCAAAACACTCTCCGCTTACGATCCTTTACAGTCAAGGTAACCGTGTTCATGTCGCACTCCAGTCTGCAGGGGAAAGGTGTTTGCCAGTGGAGGGCTGTCGATTCACATGTTTGCCACGTGCTCAATCTCTGCAAGTGGCGTGTGCGTGCTCCTATAATAGCCAGTATCAGCACAAAGGCATGGATAATGACTTTTTTTGTTGGCACCTCAGCACATATGTCCTTAACACTGTCTTAAAGGCCTGGATAAGATGCTTTCTTGGCTGGATTGGGAGTTGCGGGGTAAGGGGCCATCCATTCGAGTGGGTACACAAAAATCTGTCAACTTGACCCCCCCCCTCCCTGTACGCACGCGGACCTTTTACCCCCTCCCCCCCCGAATCCTATAGAACGGCCGATATTTAATCCTACGCAGAAACGATCAAGGATTAATAATATTAACGTGTTTAAGCAAACAGATAGTCCACCGCCGGCCTAACTCATTTTAGGCCAATGTAGACAAATTATTATCGAGGCTTCACACCCCCCCCCCCCCCGTTTCTTATGCGTACGTACATTGGCAGTAGACGTTAACCACCCCTCCCCCCTCCATGCATACGTATTAAATGGATGGCCCCGAAAGACGCTTGGTGGTTGCACCATTGGCTGGGTCGGGTGTGTGAGAATGGGGAAAGTCTATTTGGTGACTTAAGAAGCTGCCTATCCAAGTCTGGCTGCCACAGTCTATTGCGATTCTCATGGTTGGCTCCGTACGGTGCGAAAGAAGTTCAACATACATTAAGTAATGTCTGTTTAAGTAGGGGAAAGTGCAAACTGAATTTAGCCCAATGTATTTTTTTAGACACGTCCCCGCATATCAAGCGCTATAATGCCTGTTTCGGGCAGTTTAAAAACAGAACTTCTGTGCTGCCTTTGACCAAAACAACTGGAACACATCCAATTTGATCTGTGTGATCTCAAGAGCTAAGCATGGTCGGGCTCGGATTGTTGACCACTGTGGATAAAACAGGTGTCATGCGCTGCTATGTTTATCTTCAGGGCATATACACATTGCAGCCCCTCACAGATGTGGCCTGATTTATCATTCATTCCTATGCTATGCTCAAAATGCTAACTAATATATTCAACACTATGACATCTAGAACCTGTTCTCAATGTCAAATGGATTGCGACTAAGCTTATCTGGGGGGTGAGGGTGGGAGATAGGTGTCACAGAAATTAAGGCACAGCACTGAAACCTGGCCATGCGAGTTTGATTTCAAGCCATGCCTCTCACATCAGCGGCGAGCGATGTCCGAACCAGTCCTGGGCCCTGGCCCCTTCACCGACCTGCACGACCGTAAGTCGTGGTCAAACAACGTCCGTCGCCATTCAGCAGTGGATCATCAAGACACTGGGGTTTTTAAATCCTTTATATTAAGTTCACTTGCTTGCTTGCTTGCGCGCTTACGACCGTGCAAATCTTTCGGTCGTTTTTTAACCCACTTCCCGTGATCCAATCGAGCTGACGTTTTGCACACAGACTCGTTGTGCGTGACAATTTATTTTCGTGAAATTTTTTTCCCATAACTTTACACTTTTTAGGGAATTGTTTTAGATTTAATTACCAATTGCTTAATGGTGGCAGGCAATCATCTGACCCATAGGTGGCAGCCATCTCAAGCCAGAGGACGAGAGGACTCTAGCCGCCACGCATATAAAGGATTTATAGTGAAAAACTTTGTTTTTACGGGTTAATTTTTTTTAGTTTCTCTCGTATAGTAATTTGAAACAATAAATATCCTTTCACTTAAGATGTCCCTCAAAATCCGCAAGTTATGATTCAAGAATTAATACTGAATAAGGCAATATTTAATTAAATCAATGTTTTCCATACGTGGGAGAATGTTGCATCTGATTGAAAAACTCGTCCTTCCCAGGACATTTTAAATTAGCAACTAGCTTCACGTCACGAACAATATTAAGATAACTGTCTTGACCGATACTAAATGTTTTTCATTCCACAATCTAATCGCACTATTTAACTCAGTTTATTTTACTATTTACAGCTTTCATTTTGTTACCTCAATTTCAATTGAATGTTTTATTTAGTTTCTATACATATGCACGTTATATTTCGTTTGATCTGTTAATTCTTCTGTATGCTGTGCTCTAGAACCAAAATACACTTAATCTCCCTTCATTTTAAATATACACATTGATTCATGAATGTAACCCGCTAAGTGCTGTGTAGCGATATTCACCCACCAACAGTGTCTAAACAGGATTATAAATAGCTTCCAAGATTATTTAGTGCTGCCATATCAAAATACGGAGACAATCTCTGTATAATGCAGCGCAATAACAAGAAAATAAAAAAAATTATGACAAGACATGTTGACATCTTCCTGGGATCTTTGTATAAATTTGCGCTTTTACACACATAGGCTATTCTTAGTGTTGTTATTCAAAGGTTGACATTCATATTGTATGCCAGTTCTTAAATACACAAATACAGGCATCCGAAACTGTGCAAGTTTTCTAACCTGGTTAATACTAAATTGGGTGACGACCGGGGCTTTACAGGTGCTGCGTGTTGCTGCGAGGTGAAGCCAGGCGATGACAGTGCCGAGTGTCATCCCCTTGTACACGTGGTCGATTTTCTCCGGGCACTCTAAGTTCCTCTCGCGTGAAAAGCCAATCCCTCATTTTTGGAATTGACTAAACGTTCCCAATGGAATGGCCTCCTGAAAAAAAATTGTCCTGATGCAGTAAGGCTTTTATTTGGTAAACAATTTGCATTGTTATTTAAAGCTTTCGTGACTGCAGGGATTCATATTCTTGGTTCCTTCGGTAAAGTCACGTAGAAGGGAAATAATAAAATAATATTAATATAAAACAATAACAATTCTCACGACGTTTCGACTGCAACACAAGAAATTTTTTTTGCTGTGGATTTCACACCTGATGATTGTTTGTGTTACAGTCAAAACGTGAGAATTTTTATTGTTTTATATTTAGATTATTTTATTACTTCCCTTCTACGTGACTTTACCGAAAGAACCAAGAATATAATTTGCATTGTTATTATCATTGTTATCAACAACTGGCGTCAGCATCATTTTTATCTTCACAATACTGATAATTCATTGCAGGCTGCTGCCGAGTGGTTTATGATGCACGTCAAATGTGTTTCTCCGTCGTTGTGCAGTGGCGCGTCCGTGGCTAGCGTCCGGGCAGGAGACGCCACCTCTAATTGAGGAAGTGCAGGCTTTGATGAAATCAACTGCAGCTGTAGAAACACGAGTAAACGTCTGGCAGTTTGGTCCCCCTGGCGTAGCGGACACATGAAAGCTCAGTGTTGCAGCCGCGGGGTTCAGAAAAATGACATCGGCACTATAATTTGGCCCGGGCAAAGCGTGCAAATGAAACGCCGAGAATTGGGCCACGGCAAAGTTGTGAACAAGAAAAATATACTTGCTCACCACATGATCGTGGATCAAGCAATGGCAATAGTCCACAACAAGCCTGCTCTCTACGGAGCAGGAGAGAGAGGTCAAGTGCAATGAATTCAGATGACATCGATACGAATAACAAGAACACGACTCACCGAGGAAAATGAGAACGTTTGATCATCAGAGGAGTTATCTGATGGCAATGCCAACTGTTCATTCTGTAGGTTGGTTGGACAATACATTCTTGCAACTTTAGGGAAATATTTACAATTATATTATTTTATATATATAAAATCTTAGTATGAAAACAATGAGAATAGGTTTTATCCTTTCTGGCAATAAAACAGGTGTTAAGATGTTCAAACACCAACTAGAAACCTTTTGCAAGGAATCAAGTCTGCATTAACCACACGAACTTGTGGTGAACATGCAAACAAACATGCTTTGATAATATATATTGTCTTTGAAACAGATTGGTCCAATGTAAAATCTTGTTTCACCTTTATTTAAACCAAAAGAATATCATGCTGGCGAGAAAGACTCCGTTCATTGAAGATATTGGCGTAGTGGTTAACGCGCCACACTGTGAACCCTGCGACCTGATTTAAATCTCTTGGCCACGGATAACATCGGTGGCGAGTGATAATGTGCACGGACAAACGTGGCGAAGGGTCGACAACTCAACCAGCAAGATCCACACAGGAGGCCTCCATCCAGCCGTAGACTTCTGGATTGTCGATGTGTTTTTTTGAGAATGTTTGTGAGTTGATCACAGAAAGTGAAATTAGAATACAAATAGAAGTTCACATGGCAGTACAGTATACCGATTTTATTTCACGTTTCCGTTTTATTTAATAAAGAACAGATTTATTGGGTGCAAAAGTTTGGTAAAAACTGAACATGCAAAGCATTCAGATTTATTCGATTTTTTTTATACAGATAAAGTGTTTGCCTCTCGTATACCTGAGTAAAATGTTGGCATCATCTTTAATACAACATAGGTATTGGTCATACGGTATTCGTAACATACCTAGTGTACTCAAATTTCATTAAAAATATATACCTTACGCATATTTTAGTGCTTTTTGAGAAACTATATATTTACACTCACGATACCGCACTTTCCCCCCCAAAAATATAGCATTGGAGCATTTACAAATTGACGTCAAATATTGACATTTTCAGTGCATTAAAAATAGACGGTCCATTGCTGTCACAACATTTGTTTGCAACAGAACCCGCCATACAAACCAATCTCTGTCGAATTCCTCCTCTCTTTAGTGCTGCCCCAACTAGGCAGCCGAAGACTGTCCTGCTGTCCTGGTGTTAGGGTTGCCACTTCTGAGGTACAAAAACCAGGACATGTCATGACAAGCAGAAGAATATCTGACAATACCAGAAGAGTTGAGAACTACATGTAAATGCATTGTCTTAAGTGGTTTATTAGTACGCACTGACAACAAAAGCCAGGATTTTTAATGTTCTGGGAAGACTTACAGAATTCCCAGGATGGCAGCCACTTCAAAGAGAGGTTCCTGGGAAAAGCAGGACAGGTGGCAACCCGACTTGGCGTCGCCACGTTGACCCACGCGGCAGTCTAAGACGAGCTTGTCCATGCACGCGCGTGCGCCAACCCCCCCCCCCTCGCCTCGCCGCACTAGTCCTCGAACACCTCCAGGAAGAGCGGAGGGAAGAGCTCGCTGGGGCATTCCACCTTCATCTTGAGGAAGCGGTCCGTGTGGCTGGCGCTGATGAGGCGCAGGTCGGTCACCTTCATGAGCAGCTTGGGCCAGAAGAAGGGCATGCCGTGCTTGCGCCGCCGCACGTAGCGCTCGAAGGCCAGCAGGTACCGCTCCTGCATCCAGTCCACCTTGTCTGGCCTGGACAGGCCGGCGCGGTCTGCGACGAGGACGTCAGACGTTTCACGTCCCACTTGGCTACGGTTGAATGCATTCGTACGTGAGCTCTCTGTCCGTCTGCCCGTCTGTAATGGGGTGGGGGCCCCCACAAGAACTCTTTTAAAGTTGATCCAGTATGAACGAAATTTAAGTTTGAAATTGTGTTGATAATTACGGGGCTTATGCTATCGAACAGCCTGGGTGGGCTGGAGGGGGTGATTTGACCATATTTTACCACTTTAGTTAGAACGGATTGGTGAAGGTGCTCAGGATCTCAGTTCAGATATCACTCGCCACCGATGTTAGCCATGGCAAGGGATCGAACTTGGGACTCCAAGTCCATAGCGCAATGTGCTAACCGCTGCACCATCGTTCAAGAGGCGCACACATGTGTCAGTGGAATAAATGCATTTTTTGTTATCCGTTGGATACGTTGAAAAAAGTTCCCGCCTGTATTCACATCACTTGCACTGTATATTCAGCATGTAATTCGCGATTGTCTGTAAGTGCAGATAAAGGCTGATGAATGACCTCGTGCGTGCAATGTGCGTATAATGGTACAAGATAAACGATGTGGAGCGCATACCGACTCAGCATTGAGGCACTCACTTTGGGGACGGTGCGTGTAGATTACAAAGAAATCCAACAATGCGACAGACAAAAATAAAATAAAAAAACACTCAACTGGCTTTTCCTACAGCAGGCACAAGTGCACATTCGCCGTGTGGGCACAACACACACCAAGAAGGGCGCTTTAAGTCGCCGGGACTATTTCTAAACCCAAACTATTTTAAAATTTACAAGGTAATGCCCACTGAGCTAGGTAGCTCTTTTTCAGAAGCCATCTGAACACAAATGATAACTCAACGAAGTGGCTTATCACCTAAAGCAGTGGTTATTAACCTTTACTGCAGCCTTGCACTCCTTTGGTTTTCAATCGTTACAAAATATATAATGTTAATAAATGCATAGAGGGTTTGATTAAACAAAGTAGTTGGTCTTACGTGCACGTGCTTAATTTGTGTTTCGATGATTTACCTTCTAAAACAATCTGGCCATGTCTCCCACCCACAAAAAAGGGCATCTCACACTCCCAGGAGGTGCGTGCACCCCAGGTTAAGAACCACTGCTCTTAAAGGCATGCTTCTAAATGTGGAGGGAAAATCCGGGGGACCCAGATAAAAATCCATGCGACCACGGGGAGACCATGCAAACTCTAAATATACAGGTGTCAAGATCGGAATCGAACCCACAGCCTCCTGTATACAAGGCGAGGTAGTTAACATCTCGCCACTCTGGGACTGTTGAGAAGCCAACGAGTTTGCGACTATGTGAAAGAGCATGCATGCATCTGCAGCTGGGATCGAATGCCATGCCAAATGTTACCAAACGTGAACTCCGAATTGAACAACGTAGACCTTTTTGGAATTCACGGTCTCAAGTGGATGCCTTCTCTCACCACGAGCACCGCCGCACCCATCTCCCCCACTGCAACGAACGCTTCAATCCACTATTATTCTTCACGCTTACGATGACGAACATGAGTGAGGAGTTGGCAATGGGCCAGCTCGTTTCTCATAATGCATTTTTAAAAGGCCTCATTAAAGTTGTGTGTTGTTAAACTGCTTATTTATTTAAGTTGTTTTAATTGAAATTCGTATTTAAACGATTTGTTGCCATTAAATTAATGCACCTGACTCGAGGTGGCTGGGATGCCCAGGGGTTACAGAACCACTGAGACACTGGCTTTTGCATCCAGGTTTCAGTCAGCTATGGATAAACCAGCTTCTCAGGTGCAGTGAGTTGATGGTCTCAGCCCGGTCACGGATGACTACACACACAAAACATCACATCGATATTGTGTTTTCACTTCACTTGGTGACATTCCAGCTGTTGAGAATAAAAACAATTTGTTTGACTGTCATGCGACGGACAGTACTTGATAGCTTGGGTACGTGGAAAAGTGCAGTGCCCTAGTATGTGGGAAATAAAATCACTCGAAGGGACATCAGCAGTAGTTCTGTGATATCACCTTCCATGAACCGTTCTTGAACACGAGTGATGCACTGTCCCTGTGCGAGTTTCCAAACGGACACTTCACTCCATGGCATGATGCCAATAGCACACCAATTAATATCAGGGGGAAATAGGAAAAACAATAAAAATAAGTGACATACATTTTTTAAACCCATCGCACCTGAAGACATGAGCAGCACGGCCTGCAACAGAGCCACCTCGGTGTCGTCGAGCTCAAAGCTGACGAGAGACCTCCCCAGCTCGAATATCGAATCGGAGATGTCTCCCAGGCCGCCGTGTTTCAGCTGCTGGCTCCTGACGGACACCTCCCCGTTGAGCGTGAGCGTGTCGCTGTCGGCGTCGTAGCGAACGGCAGCGCGCAGCGACATGATCTCCATGCAGCAGCCCTTGAGCAAGATGATCTGATCTTCGCACGGCAGCTGGGCGCGCACGTGCACATAGAGTCGAGTCACGCGTACGTTTGGTGTTGGAGTACAAGTACGTCGGGCACCTACGATTAGCAAGGTTGGCTACGTGCGGTGTGGAAGAAGTTCAACATACATACGTCAGGTACCACCGTATTCCACGGACGTAGTCTGCAGGAGCGTACACAGCCAGGGAAGAAGGTGCCATGTGGTTTCCGAATTGAGTAATTTGGGGGTAATATTTTACTTAAATTTGGACCGTGACGTCGTTACACATGGCCTACAACTTTTATGAATAACGTCAAAGGCTCTTTAACATCCGCTGTAAAACAGGCGGCACGTATTCACGTTAATATACCAGCAGTATTAACTAGGGCGGCCGTTGGGGCTCAAATTGCGAAACTTTTCAATAAGCGACAAACGCGCTGTAACAGCACATAATGAATCGGCGACAATTCATAAAAAGTGTTACATTTTCATGCCCGTATATGGAGAAATTTGGCGTGGCTTTTCCCAAATACGGTTATTGGGGTGTTTTCTTGCCCAAATAAGGAATAGTGCAACGGGAATCATCAGCTATGGTCACTCAATGCTCAACCATAGCTCGATCACCGCTTGATCAATGATTGATCACGCCCAATTCTTCCATATATGGGCCTGAATTAACATCATTCATTCTGTCGAGGATTAATTTGTCATCAATTCTGCCGCGGATTTTTGTATGTCCTCCTCGGCCCTGTCACCGCCCCCCACACACACAGAGGGCTTCATCTCAAGGATGGGGCCAACGACCGAGAAAATACTTCCACGTCCACATTCAGTATACAGTAAAACCTTGGATTGCGAGTAACTTGGTCTGCGAGTGTTTTGCAAGACGAGCAAATTTTTTAAATAAATATCAATTTGATAAACGAGCGAGGTCTTGCAATACGAGTAGTACGTGTATACGCTTTGTCTGCCGAGTGGCACGTGATCACAACTGATATACGAGTGCTTTGGATTACAAACACGTTTCCGGAACGAATTATGCTCGCAATCCAAGGTTTTACTGTACCTCGAGCTGCGGCTGTGAATACGAGTCACTTGCTTACCCCAGTCCAGCAGAGCCTTTTACACACTGTCAAGGAAAGTGCTGTTACCGATCGCCTGTTAACGTGAAAACAGGGCATGGAGAGGTGGTGTGTCCAGCGCCCGCCGTCGCCTTCGTCTCCGTAGTGCTGACGTTGACTGCACAGCACTGGCTATGTACTCATTTTAGGCTGAGCTGAGCTACTGGAGATCAAGGTTCACATTCTAATTATCGCTGGTGTTATAATGGTCAGGAATTTAACCCGAGTTCTTTGAATCAGCCGACAAATACACGTTTGCCAATCCACCGCTGGATGAGGGCCTCCCCACGCCATACTTCACCATGCCGGTCAGCGCATGTTGGTGTAGGCGGTGAGCAGAGACGTGCGATTCTAGAATCACAGTCGAAGAATTTGATATTGCCGCATTGCCCACTGCTGCCCACCACGTAGCCCCCTGCAGCAGTAGCCTCTAATACTTGCTGGTCGACTTAACCAAGCTTTATCCAGGCTCCACCCACAGTTAGCTTCTGAGATAAGATCAAGCGCATCTCGGGTCGTTTTTGGGGGGGGTGGGGAGGTCATGGGACAGTCACGAAGAGAATATCGCGCGGTCAAGCTTCTACCTCCAGGAATCCCGTGAGCTTCTTGGCAAAGTCGACCACTCTGGTGATGGCCGGGGTGATGATGCTGGTGAAGAGGCTGAATGCGGCCAAGTCCACCATCTCTCCATTCTGTGCCGAGGGCCGGCCTACCCCGTCAGGCTGCGGGGGAGACAGCGCCCGTGAAATTCTCTGCACCCGAAGGCGATTTGATTCTGTTTGGCAAACCTCAAGTGACGTCTCTCCGAGATGAGAACTCCAGAGGAGTGGCTGTCCCTGCAAAACGGAAGACCCCCAAGTTCGTCTCGCTCTTCTGAACAAAAAATCATGGCCGTGTGGGATTTCCCCCATTAAATGACAGCACAGCAATTACACCCAAAACACATTTGATGTCTTAGTCTCTACACAAAGCCATCACATGTCCACAACCATCAACTTGAAGACAAATGGGGTTTTTTGTCCCCCACGGGCAATAAAGGATTGTAACAAGTTACCGAAAGAAGCGAGAGCCACTTCCCCTAGCCCTACATTCAAAATATAATGAGCGAACAACTCATCGGGAGCAGACAAAGGCACCGTGCGTCCACCACACTCCCACGCAAGTGGAGGAGCAATGCGAGGCTGTTACGCTCCACTACCGGCGTGAGCTGCACACTGCGTGAAGGTGCCTGGAACACTGCTATTCCGAGTGCACGCCGAGTGCCACTGCAGTTACACCGCCTGCACACTCGATTGCTATGCTAACGCCTAAAGGTCCGTGCTTGAGCCATCGGTCGTGCAACCGGGCCGCACGCGACGATATCGTTTATATGTTGGAGGGCGGAAGTCTCTGCAACCGGTTGTGAGCAGTTGCGCAACCGGTCCCTCACGGTAGAGACTTCAGGCTCCAAGTTTGAAGCGGCGATCTGCTCAGCGGTTTGGCTGCGGAGTGGACCCGCCGTGACGCGCAGGTGAGAGAAACGCGAGCACACGCTAACCAAGTTCACGCTACGGACCGTGCAGGGCTCAAGCCACCACGATACCCCCCCAGTTATACCAGGAACTTTCTCTTGTGCCTCCAGTCTCCGCCCTGAGCGTTGGAGGAGGTGTGCGCCTCGGTAACATTCTGGACGAGCGCCCACTCCTCAGGGCTGGGCACTCCCCACGCGTCGCCGCTCATCGTCGACGACTCCCTCTGCGCCAGCTGCTGCTGCTGCTGCCGTCGCCGCTCCCGGTTTTCCTCGATGAGACGACGCTTGGCCACGCGCTTGCGGTCGTCCAGCACCACTGCACGTGCGCGAGAGAAAGAGCAACCGCCCTGAGAAAACCTCCACGGGCACTGTCGGCAAATTCCTTGGCGGTTGGCACGGCCGGGCAGGAGCGCATTAATCACTCAGTGCAGAAGTTCCCCTTGTTCGAGCCTAGCGGCAGCCCTGGTTAATGAGACAATCATGAAAAAAATGCGTGCCATCTGCTTCGCAGTGGACGTTAAAGAATCCATTATGTTGTTTAACCCTTTCTAATTCTGATGACGTACGTGTACGTGTACATCATCAGTCAAAAATAAAATAACTTTATTGGTACGTCTTTAGGTCGGAAGACGTGGCGAGGCTCCGACGAGGCCATGCAGGAGGGCGTGTGGCACAGTTTGGTGCCAGCTTTCATAGAGTGCGATCATGTCGCAACAGTTCTCTGCGGTGAGTACAATGTCTTTAAAAACAACGGCGCTGTGCCTCTATGAATGAAATTAACGCTAACCACTTGCGCGTTCCGAGATTCAGCGGTGAACAGGTCCCACCCTGCAACTTGTAGACATCTCGGAGTGGGAAAGGGTTAAAAAATAAATATCGAAGGCTGTGTGTGCCGGCATCACGACCCAAATTTGCCGAAAGAAATTAGGAGTTGCAATTTACCAAATTGGGTAAAGCCACACAGCAACATTGCCCCCTACTGTGAAACTGCTGCACACACTACCCGTCTGTAAAACATCGTTCTTTTGTGATAGCCTCATGCTGTACGAATGTCGGGAATACCAAATGTACGAATTTTTGTTTTGAATTAAAGGAGCACGGGTTGGTTCGCGGACCACACAAATGTCGTGAAACTTCCTTCCCGTGGCTATCGAGGTGTCATACACTGGCTTGCCAGGAGAAAGCGGTGCAGCAAATGTGCACTCCCATCTGTTTCCTCTGTATGGGATAGAGTGTTACCCCCTCGTCCGCATGGGTTTTCCTCCGAGTACTCCAGTTTTCTCTCACATGTACTCATTAATTGACTGACAACTACAAAATGTGTCTTTTTTCAACTTCTTTCACACCGTACGTAGCCAACCGTACTAATCGGAAGTGCTGGGAAGAACAACAAACGGAACACAAAAAAACATTCATAAAGAAATTAGTTTTCAATCTATATTTAAAAGTGCATATCTCTAGCGGCTACCGAATATCGGAAGAGATCGTTCCAGACGGCTGCAGGTGCGCATCTGAAAGCGCGCGATGCAGTATATATAGAGGACCTCAGAGCTTGGGAGGGAATTTCCCGTTTTTCCGTGGTTCCTCGCGCCTCTGAGCCGTTCTCTCTCTTCCAGAGTGCGACGGGTTACAAGTTGATACTATTATTATTATTAACGAACAGCAGTGCCCCCTGTGCCCTCCCCCACGCACCCCCCCCCCCCCCCGGTTCACCAGGGTAGCGAGGCAGTAAAGGTCAAGTTATCGAGGTCAATGCAGCCGATGCCAGTATCGCTTCCTTCCTTCTGCCAGATCCGAAAGCAGTTGCACAGCCGACACCCGATCTCCAAAGTATGCACTTACAGTGTACCACTTGTGGAGTTTTATTTTGAGGGTGCGAATGTCAGCCCCCCCCCGCCCGCCACCCTCCCCCTCCCATATTGAGTGCCCTGCTCTGCCCCCCCCCCCCCCCCGTGATGTCCCTTGATAACCGAGTCCTATAATCGAGGTGGCTTATGGCTCAGGGTTTAGAGGAGTGAGCTGGCACCATTGAGATCGTGGGTTCGTGTCCGGGTTTCCATTCCGTAACATGCGTTCAGATGTGTAACGAGTTTGATGGTCACAGTATGGTTACTGATGATGGCACACAACACAAAATTTTACTCAAAAATGTGCTCGTTCATTTAAATTGGCGACATTCTGAGAATTAAGAGATATATGGTTTGTATGCCATGCAGCAAGTATATGTCTGTTAGCAGGCTGTGTGGACAGTGTGTGTGGATAAGAAAGGTCACGTGAAGTAGTTCTCATAGATATATTTCCTTCAAGTAGAATACAATTGAGAAAGAGACAGAAGTTTGTTTTTAACCACATTTTTCTTGATCTTGATACGACTATACGCGTGTGTGTGTCACAGTCGTCAGACGATTCAAACAATTCAGGTTAAATATTTCGATGATAACACTATTAGTAACTGTTATGTGTACTTCATCGGAATCACCCCAGGTCGGCTCAGCCTAAAATTACTACAAAATGACTATATGGTACAATTACCACTAGTGGGTGGACTAGAGTACTAACTCATTCAATAAATCCAACTTGTATTTGTATTTCTTCTTTATGACCCTTGGGCTACATCCATTTCAAACCTTTTAAAACAGTCTGCATCAGCAGCAGGCCATGCTTTCCCACCTGATGACAGACGCTTGTGTTGCGCTCGAAACGTCCTGATCTATTTTATTTTATTTTATACCTACGTGACTTTGCCGAAAGAACCAACGAGTATGTATTTCTTCATGGCACCTTTCTTAAAATCAAGGCCTCTGTACATAACTGACTATATATTACATTGTTTTTCTTAGCCTCCCATTATAATCGATCTGACAGCAGCTCATAGACCCAGACTGAACAGATAATTTATGATTGGTCAGTTGGAGAGCAAACGCAGAGCTAGAGGAAGGAGAGGACAGCTCTGCGGAGATCGGCCGTGCCGTGGCCGTACCCTCCCGTGTAGCTCTTTTGTCGCTCCACTGCCGGACGAGGGGTTACTTAGCAATATAACACCACGCTGCATGGTCACTGCGGGATGACGAAGGCGGGGAAGCATAGAGGATGGAGCGCAGTACCGTACAGCAAATGCATTTTTCCACACTACGCATCTGCTGACAACAGCCCGCGACGTCCGTTTCATGCGTGGCGGTTGCCCGTCCGAGGCGCTCGAGCCGGGGTTTGGGACCCCGCCGGCTTAGTTTGCGAGCTCCGACACGAATCTGGCGCATTCCGGTTGATTTGGTCACATGCTCTCGAGCGTGCTTGGGAAGCTCTGAATGAACGAGCCGCGGTGTCCCGGTTACTCACAGTCGGTGACCATGCCGACAGCCAGACACTTCTTGAAGCGGCACTCCTGGCACTGGTTGCGGTTGATGCGGTCGATGGTGCAGGTCTCGGAGAACTTGCACACGTACATGACGTGCAGGCTCTTCTGGATGGTTCGGCGGAAGAAGCCCTAACGTCGAGCGACGGGGTTCGTGGAAGAGACAGAGGGGAGAGAGGGGGCGGGTTTGGAGGGGAGAGGTACGGAGTTGGGGTGTTGGCGATTGGGAGCGAAAGAACATTTTTAAAAATGGCAAGAATAAGTAGATAAACCCCGGTGGGCTGGATAAATGACGGTGAAAACAACTAATAGCTGAATGTCTTTGAAGCGGTCGAACTAATATTTGTCACATTAATGAGAAAAGCGGTCTAAATTGACAAACCAGCAGATGCAATACCTCAACCATAAAGCGCAACCATGCATTGTTTCTGGCTTTCCCCTAATTTGATCCCAATTGCACGATCAGCGGACACAATGTCACAAGACGTAGAATCAACGCGGAACTCTCAATGAGCAGTGCAACCCTTTGTGTTAGAACACGGCCCTTGAAAAGGGATACCACTTGTGAAATCTCATCAAAGTAACCTCTGGTCCACACAGATGATGGCAGCACTTTCCTACTCACTCTGTGCCACCAAAATAATGTATTTCTATTTCTCAGGGCTGGAATTTAGCCACATTGAGTGCAGGATAATAATACAAAATGTACGCGATGGGTTGTGTTTTTTTTGTGTGCAGTCATTGTTGGTGACTGATACAAGACCATTGACTCGCTCGACATTTGAGAAGCCTGTTTGATCAGAGGCGGTTTTCCCGGTTTCGAACCCAGGATCTCAGTGGCACCAGCTCAGCTCTGGGGACCTCTGAGCCTCTGAGCCACCGCCGGCCTTTTTGCATCACAACTCGTTTCTCACGGCGTCGGTGTCCGCAACGGTTTTTTTTTTTTACGGAGAAGCCGGGACTTGCGCTGTGCCCGCGTGCGTGGAAGAGGAACGGCATTACACCTTGCATCCCTCGCAGGTGATGCAGTGGTAGTGGTACCCCGTGGCCTTGTCACCACACACAGCGCACGGCTGCCCCTCCAGGAGGTAGCTGGGGATGTACACTGCGAGGGCACACAGCACACGAGACGGTTCGGAACGATCGGGTGCCACGCGCGTTGATCAAGTCATGCTTTTCCCCACTTGCGTTTGTCCTCGGAAGTATTTCCTTTAAAACAACAGTGCGGAAGCCGACGGGTAGCCATCATATTCGTGAATAGCCCTCGTTGACTTTTAAAGGGTTTGTCTGTTACTTTATATCTACCGATGGGTAGCTGGTCATATGCCAATGTTAGTCTGTTCATCTGTAAACATTCTTCAAAGGATGTTTGTATCATAGTGCCGTTCTAAACTAGTATTTACTCAATCGCTCTGGCCTTCTCCATCTCTCTGCTGCGAGGAAGGGAAGTTGTCCAAATTGTCACCTATTTTATATTTTGTCCTGCTCTGTAGGGCAGTGCTCTTGGTAGGTGTCTCCGAATTTTGGGAAAACCCTTTCATAAATTGGAGCAGTTTTTAATAGTGTATGCTCATACTACTATCAACACATTTACTACAGATCTGTTCATACCAGATCACATTCACGAGAGTTATAGTTCCACTCCAGACAAGTGGACAGAGTAATACATAAACGCCTTCAGCCTTGGTTGGAAAGCATCTATAGGAATTGGTTATCCTTCAAACTTGAATTGGTTATCCTTTGTTAAACATCACGACACAAAGTTTGCAGGAAATTACACATTCACACTGAGACCGTGAGAATTACAACTCTCGATGTCACATGATCTCAACCAAATTCCGTTGGTGCATGAATACTGAACGCAAAGCCATAATTTAATTGTCGTAATTTCATACCTGTCAACCCCTTATCAGTGCCTACCTTATTACAGACCAATTCAGACCTTATTGCTCACCCCAGTCCCCTTATACATCTCTACGTTCATCCTACAAAGTCCCATCACAGGGGAGAAACACAAACAAATAGACAAAACTAAATTATCTTCTTGGTTCTTTCGGTAAAGTCACGACGTTTCGGGCGCCACACAAGCGTCCGTCATCAGGTGGGAAAGCACCTGATGACCTGATGATGGACGCTTGTGTTGCGCCCGAAACGTCGTGATCTATTTTATTTTCTACCCACGTGACTTTACCGCAAGAACCAAAGAGTATGGATTCCTGCAGTCACGAAAGCTTCAAATCAACTCTATTTCCTTGTACAAGAATACGGGGTAAACCATACGGGTTGACACGGTATGTAAATTTCATCTATAGGTCCACTGTGGGATTGACAATGATGGCGAACAAGTGGAGACTCTTTTTGAAGCTATTAACATACATTTGTTATCATCTTACAGTGTATTAGCCGTTCTTTTTCCATTAAACACGACAGTCCCATATAGGTGTTAACATTGTTTTGAAGCACCCTGTATTGCCTCATTCCTGAATCTGCCTCCGCCACCAACAGTGAGGCAGATTGCCGAGGTTGCATTTCAGCGATTTGGTTCGATCCGGGATATCTGACTATTTAACTAATAGAATACTCTCCCGATCATCGGAATCGATTATATTACTCATCGGAAAACCCGAGCGGAGATGCATCGAAATATCTCACGTCCGTTCCATTGATCTCCGCAGATCTGCGAGTCCTATGCGAGTCGATTATTGTATGTGTTCGTCTATGGGTCTCTTACGTAGGTCATTGGTGACCGGTCCACCAATTCGCTCCACCTGAGAACCAAATTTCATCGCAAGGTGGCTAACAACCCTATTTGAATCCAGCAATCGTACCTGTGTTCCGACCCCCCCACCACCACCACCTAATCCACCCAGCCACCTGAGCTCTCACCTTTCTTCCCTTGCTTGTCGTCGTTGCCCGTGCGCTCGGGGAACTCCCGCTCGAGTTGTCTGGGGTCCCCGTCCGCCGCCGCCGCCGCCGCCGCCACCACCGCCCCGTCGACCCGCTGGAACTCTGTGGCCGAGCGCCCGGGCGTCGCGGCGCCGCCACTCCGCTCGCCCGCGTCCATCTCACGCCCGCGCAGGCACGCGCGCTGCACCGACGGTTGACAGCAACAACGCGCGGTCACACGACAGACAGAGAGAGAGAGAGACAGAGACGACCCGGGGGCAGGTGCGCGCCGCTCGGCTCGCGTTCATCCACTCAGCTCTTGTTGATGACCGTTCAGGGGCTCGTCTATCCATTGTGAAGCGTGCAGACGGCTCCTCGGTGTGTACAGACCCGTACCGATGGTGGGGGGGTGGAGGGGGCTGTCCCCCCCCCCCCCCCACCGCTGACGGCTTAGCCCCCCCATTCTAAGAATGTTGTGGTCAAGTCAAAAAGTGTTGGTACAATATTTAACACAAGCGGAGGGGCGCTAGGTAAAGTGCGAAAATGAGCGGAATTAAGAGGTGGCCGTCACAGACGTTCCTCGCGCTGTTAGAATCTATAGTTATTATTATTATGATTACTACTATTATGTTTGTTTACCCAGGAAAGCCTCACCGAGTTTCAAGACTCGTTCCAAGGAACATCCTGCCAAGTTTTTTTTTCAGTTGGAGGCGATGTTGCTATGTGTTATCCAAATTGAGTGATTTGCAGGTTACTTTTCAGCGTCGGCATGCTTGGTCAATACCACTTACTTTGTATGTGTTTTTATTTTTTAAGCTACGGGAGGACACTGGAGAACTCGTAGGATACCCATGATTAAAAGTGGGAGAACATGCAAACCCCACAGAAAGGTGCCAGAGTCTGGAATTGAACTTAGGATTGTCTTGGCGTGAGGCACAAGTCTCAGCACTGCGTCATGCTGTTTCCGATAAACCCAGGGGTTTCGAGCTCGAGCTGAATGTACGAAAAACAAAAGCAGATTGTATCATTACCCGCCAAGATGTTGTACGGTCCCACTTTATACAAGGTCACTCACTCTGTGTCAAACTCGTTTTCCGTGGGTTTTGTCTGGGTGAATCTCAAGATTCCTGATTCTTGTGAGTCCCCAATTCTCAACAATGCTGATGTTGATCACACAAAGTAGATGAATGGGCAATCCCCATTCATGCATTTAAAAGTGAAGGGTGCAATGAAGATGTTCAAATGCCTGTGCCCTTCACGTAATTACAGCACTCTTGCCCACAGCTTATAAAAGGTCAAAGTGCAGCCTTGCAGTTGCCTATTCACAACCACTGCTGGAAAAAGGACCTCCACTCAAAGGGGGAGGTCTAGAAAAACCCCGTCTCAAAGGTAATTGGCCTCCTCTTCCACACTGGTCAGACATCTTGGAAGAGTTGAGAGTATCCCGCGCGTTACCCCCACGACCGACTGCGGTGTCACCATTCGTACTGCTGCGTGGACAGTGGTGACGGGGGATTCCAGAAACTGTCACCATTGTTTCACGGAGCCAAATAGCTGTGCGGTGCTGATTACCAACGACACGGACGTTTTCTTCATACAGAGCGGAGCGGAATGGGCGATCTGGAATCCGCACATAAGTGAAGCGTGCAATGAAGAATTACAATGCCACGTGATAAATGACAGTGCCATGCATCCTCTGAATATGTTGCTTGCTGTTGCTGTTGGCACGGGCAAACTCCACAGATGTGTGCACTTACTGTCTCAGCTGAGTGAACAACGCTGGCGTCAGTGCCATCTGCCTGCCGCACGCTTCATGGGCTCCAAAAACGTAAATCTCGAATTTAAGTTTAAAGTGCAACGTTTATAACCGATTAAGAGGTGGAAATGCTCGAAATTGTGCTCACCTTATGGGCCGAGCTTCCTTGCCGCGGAAAGGAACTGCACTTTCGAGCCACCGCGAGACGCGGCATTTTATTCGGGCGCTGATATTAAAAAACCGCGCTGAACGACGCCGTGAAATGTACCACTTGTCGCCAGGACCCCGGATTATAGACGCGAGCCATCGCTGGGAATTGAGCCAGCGACGCGGCTGTAATGCTCAGAGCGCGGAGCTGCGGATACATTACGCTAGCCATAAACAGGACTGGGAACTTTTGGGTGGCTGGCTGTCTGAGCAAATAATAATTTGAGCTGATAAATATTTGCGGCGGTAAAAGTGTAAAAGGAAACACCCCCCCCCCCCCCGCATTACCGTGCTCGTTTTATTAGGTCCCAGTTGATTGTGCTTTCTGTGCAAGTGCGTCAAGCGGTCATCCTTTAAGGCGGGGTATGTGAAAATTCAGTTGTGGTGTGACTTATTTGCCAATACTTTTCACGTGAAGATGGGTGTCAGACGAAGGTTGTTACTCTGAATGGGATATAAGAGCTTTATTAGTCAATCAATGAATTTATTACGATACAGACCATTGCCAATCCACTGCTGGAGGAATGCCTCCCCACGCCGTGCCGGTAATGGAGGTCGTTGAGGTTGTTTAGCCACGCTCATCAGTGGTGGGGGGGTGGGGGGGAGTGCGGATCACCCGGGACAGGTTCAGATATCACGCGCCTCTGATGTGAGCCACGGCCAGAAATCATCCTCGGGTCGCTGGGGTCCATAGCGCCATGTGCCAACCACCGCCCCACCGCTTCCCCCGCCTCCCTTTATACCCTGAGCATAAACTACGTGTCGCAGACTACACGTAGCTTGACCGTGCCGTAATGTTATTATTTTCTATCACTCCCACAGAGACACCTCGACAAAGCCAGAGGCGGGTAGTTGAAAAGAGCTGCTTTGCAATATGATCGTTATATTTGACCTTTACGACCAAACGATACAACGACGATGAATTGCATCTTTTTTGCACGACGGTCTCTTGCACCGCAAGCACGTGCGTGGAATGTTGCTGGTAAAATCGAGTATTTGGCCGCTATAAAAAAAATGGCACGTGATAAGCTACTTCGTTGAGCTATCGTTTGTGGCCAGGCCGCTTCTGAAAAGGAGCTGTACGGCTCAGTGGGTCGTACCTGGTAAAATAAAAAAGTTTCTAGTTTTTGTTATTGACGCCCTCTCGCTGGGCGATGTAGGGTTTCCCCGATGCCGTCAATGTTTACTCGCTCATCGCTCATTTATCCGTTGTTGGATTTTACTTAAAAAAATATGTACACGGGAGTTCCACCCCTGTAGTGTGATCTGGTTTAACTCGGGAGGTGGGCATACGAAACTCAGTGGGGGGACAGGCACGAGACAGCCAATGCTAAACAAAAACATAACTTTAAATAAACGTGCAACGTGAAATAGATCGAGTGGCGAGGCTACGTGTGTATTGTACCGACATTTTGACCGGACTGTAAGAATCAACGAGGGCAGCTGGAGCCTTCAGCAGGGAGGGGGTGCTCAGCCCCTTCGAGCCGCCCCCCTTTACCTCCGGCCTCAACGCTGCAAAGTCTCCACTGGGAGTGGGTTATCTGCATTGCAGTGGAGCGGCGGTCACTGCTCAGGCAGTGGCGGTGAACGAGGGATTGTCGGCCGCGTGCACGCGAGGCCCATCGCACGCATTCCATCGCGTCGGTGGTCATCTACGACGGTGTTTTTCATTGCAAGGCTCGCGGGCCACGAGCGGCCCTTGGTGGCCTTTAGTGCGGCCCCCCGACAATACACAAATGTGAAAACCCCAAGGGTTTCAAATGTGTGGCGGCCCTAACACTGATGTCCTATTGACGAAAGTGCCCCCCGCCCGCCAACTCTGAAAATTAGTGAAGAACACTGTTCTACAGGATGCTCCAGATGTCTGGTGCCCCCCCCCCCAAAAAAAAAAAATTGAGCCCAAACATTTTTTTCATTAGCATATTCTTTTATGTTTTCAAAGGGCCTTACTTTATAATAAGTTTTAGAGAATCAAATGGAAATGACACGACATCTGCACCACCCTGGACATTCAAGCGGCACGGACCACGGTACGCGCACGGCCTCCCTGCGGTGGCGAGCGGTGAAGGTGACATCTCAACAGATATAACCACCTGATCGTCTACCCTACGGTCCGTAGCGTGACGAGCGTGCGGGCCGGGGGTGCCTTGCCCCCCCCGCCCCCCCTGGTGGCCAAAGCTACGAGTTGGGGCCCCCTTTGCCAACAACCGTGAGATGTGTATTGAAAGGTTTAGTATTGGAAGTCATCGTTTTTTTACCGTAAAGAAACGTAGTGTAACGTAACGAAATGTAATTTGCTTTGAATGACAGTAACTTCAGTAAAATGATGACGTCGTCCTGCTGCACCATTTAAGACCGGAAGCAGGTGGATGGCTTCACTATTCTGGCAAATCGCCCGAAGATGCTGGATGTAATTACCAGCGACACGTTGCACTCAAATTCTAAATGTTGTGGATTCACTCTTCAAACACACCGGTGGGCTGAAGAAGTAACTAATTGGCGTTTTGTTAACGTGACACATTTCTTACTTAATTGGCCGTGTCGGGTGGTGGAGGGTTGCGACACATTTCTACTAACGCGATCTGACCCATAAACCTTTATTATGAAACATAATCAAGTTCAAAAATATCATGTTGACCGTGTTAAAAAAGTGTGATTGGGCAGGATGCATGTTTATAAGGGATGACGATTGGTAAACCAAGTCGGACAACTCAGTGGCCGCCGAAGGAGAGAACGCGCCCGTGAGGGAGTCCAACAGGGAGATGGAGCAATGAAATGGGCTCCGTGTGCAGTAGCCGGACGGATCGTTGCATCACGAGACCGTGAGAGATGGCGCTGCAAAGATCGTGGCTGACGATGATCACGAGCATATAAATGGAGCTGGTTAAATGATTGCAGTTTTTAAAGAATGTTCGAAATTTAAAGCCGTTTTGGAAAAAAAACGTAATGGCATGCTGCGTTATCTGGTGACTGAATTGTTTTGACTGCTCAATTAAAGTTTTCAAGCTGAGGGTTTCGCGTGCGATTAGGGAATGTGACTTCGTCATTTTTTGTTAAAAGTCATACTTTAGTTGCATTTGGATATTTACTTTTGTTATATTAGCAAGAAGATTCCTGCTTGCTTGTTTATTCATTAATCTATTCCCTATTTCACTCTTCAACAGAACAATACACATACAGTACAGGCATTTATTATATATAAAATACTGGTCCATTTATTATATAAATTAACTCATTTG